ATGTGTTGCATCTTTAAAATGAGTTAGTTGGCTGGTATGCAACTACACAATTAATTCTTGTAGACCTAGTCTTATTTCCTCCAGACTAAAATAACCCTTGTGATATTTGTTTGAGAACCATTCAAGTGTTTTATAGCTTAATTTATTCTGTACCATGGCACTCAATAACCAGTCTGATTCCTTCAGATTATATTTATTACTTAAAGTTTTGAGAGTGCTCCCCAGTTTAACTCTAAACTGCTCTAAACCTTTGTAAGTGTGATCTGGAGATTTTAAATTAACAATGATATTCACTAGATCCAACCTACTTTGTTCTGTATTACCATAAGTGACTTTCAACAAGTCAACTGCTTCCTTGTAAGAGTCATCTACATTGGGAAAGGCTTGTATGAGCATGTGAGCATCTCCTCTTACCTGTCCTTTGAGGTAAAATAATTTAGTTACACAGGCTAGGTCACTCCTGTCATGCACAAAAATTGACCAAAATTCCTCCCAATTTTCTCCAGGATTAAACAGGCAAACACAATTCTGGGAGTTTTGGCAAAGACATATTATTTGTTGGAGCAGACTGATTAACTGCCTGGTTTACACATTTTAATTTATTCAAGGCCTGACTTTTACAAGAAAGACTCTTTTCCTCTAATTCATAATACTGATTAATCATGAGATCTACTTCAGTCTCATCTACACAGTTTACTAACAAATCTCCTTCATATTTGTTGTAATATAATTCGTATGAATCATATCTATTACCTAAAGCATCTAAATACAATTTTAAATCATCAGTATTCACAGTTTCTTGATTCATTAATTCCAAACATTTATTATATGCCTTGGTTACATGACCCTTTCTAGCTTGCAGTGACGCTTTCTTTGCTCTATATTCCATATGTTTGTCTTCTATATTAATTTCCTCATTTTCAGCCATGATGCAATGTATTAAATTCAACTTAATAACACTGATTATGTACTAAATTATGCACTTTATAAAGGTAAATAGTGCAACTTACCTTTAAATAAATCCTAGCTACCTGAGCTTAGCAATTACATGTAAGAAATTTATATAAATTTTAAATGTACATTAATACAAACCTTCAGCCAGCCTTGGCTTATCAAAATTAATATTATACAAATTAATATAAATCCTTGCCAGAATTTGGCATAGCAAATTAATATTATACACATTAATATTAGTTACACTTGGCTTATCAATTACACATACACTGATATAAATCTTGGCCAGAATTATCTTATCAAATTAATATTATACAAATACATTAATATAAATCCTAGCCACTTTGGCTTTGCAAAATTAATATACACATTAATATAATTAGCTACACTTGGCTTATCAATTACACATACACTTATACACATTAATATAATCTTTAGCCACACTTGACTTATCCAAATTAATATTGTAATAGTTATAATCCACTACACATTAAGTAAATTTGTGAACTTAACATCCACCTCCTTCTGTCATTTCACATATAATTATTAAGTAATTAACTAATTAATGACTTCACTAATTACCTCCGGTTCAAGAAGAACCAACGGGCAAAATTAAATGTGGAAAATTGCATTTATCTGAATGTATCATTATTTACATAACAATAAATGAGCATAGATAATTATTATTTATCAGTTAGACAAGTAGGAATTTGGGACACCTAGGTCGCAAAAAATGTCCCCCTTCGATACCTACCACTGTTATATCCACAAGTTGCTCTGGACCTATTAATTAAATGAAATATACATACACCAGGAATGCTGGTAAATATAAAAATTTGTGGACTGTATATTAAATTAAAAAATGATTATATATAAATACACATTTATATAACAGAAGGAGAATATATCTTAATCATAACACTCACCAATTTGCCTGGAAATCAAGGTGTATCATACTCAGGAAACCTCTGTCTATACATGAAAATAGCAACTGGCCAGAGTTATAACATAACAGACTTAGCTGAGGTTCCTGGAGCTGTCTTGTCCAGTCGCCTGATATCTCAAGTTATGCAGGAATGCACATCCAACAATTTCGCCTCCTATTTGAGAGGTGTCAACCCAAATTTAACCTCTAGAGCACGAACAATTCTTCCCATTATTCACAACGTGTTATTCAATTCAAACAAAATGGCGACTCTCCCTTCTCTCCAGGCTCAGTTTCCCATTTTCTATGACATAAATGCTATTAAATACAGTATGGCCATCTATATACATATAAATACAGAATTTCTGGAAAATATATACAGTATTTTCCACACATATGTTAAACTATGTTCACCATGGGGAAGTGGAGCAGAATTCTTCCTCCGTAAGCCATAAGTGTCGTAAGAGGCGACTAAAATGCCGGAAACAAAGGGCTAGTGACCCCTTTTCCTGTATTAATTACTAAATTTAAAAAGAATATTTTTTCCTTTTTGGGGGCCACCCTGCCTCGGTGGGATACGGCAGGTTTGTTGAATAAAGAAGCTGAACTATGTATAATAATTGTACCTATGTGTACCTGCACCTAAGTAAACTTACTTTAGAGTTTATGAACTACTTACAATCCTCATTAAGCAAGTACGACTGTTCAACTGCCTCCCAGCATACACAAAGGGCCCCCTTATGTATGCTGGCTGTCTTCAAAAAGGCGCTGGACAGGCACCTAAAGTCAGCAACTAACTAGCCGAGCCGTGGCTCGTACGCTAGTCTACGTGCGGTCACCAGTAACAGCCTAGTTGATCAAGCCCTAATCCACCCGGAGGCCTGGTCCCAAACAGGGCCACGGGGGCCTTGACTCCCGAAACCCTCTCCAGGTATAACCAATGAAAATAAGTTACTATGTCTGACTTTTTTAGGTTATCCTAAGTTCTCTACACATATGCTGCTATATATGATAATCTGTTTAACTGTATTTGTGTATACCTGAATAAACTTACCAGATACTGCCTGGCCTACAGGAAGAAGCATTTACCAGACTGGTTGATTTAAGTTTAAAGCCTGTCGACTACGTGAAGCTGCATGTAGCCTGTTCACCATCACTCAGTAAACTTGAATCACCAAAACATGAATTAAAATAATCTCTCAGCATATATACATTGAGTGAATGATACTGTGGAAAATTGCATTTATCTGTATGTAACTCATAATGTACATACCAGTAAATAACAAAGATAATTTTATTTTATCAGAGTTACATAGACAAGTAGGAATTTGGGACACCTAGGTCGCAAAAAAATGTCCGGTGGCCTGGTGGCTAAAGCTCCCGCTTCACACATGGAAGGCCCGGGTTCGATTCCCGGCGGGTGGAAACATTTCGACACGTGTTTCCTTACACCTGGTCCGTTCCCTAGCAGCAAATATAACTGGGTGTTAGTCGACTGGTGTGGGTCGCATCCTGGGGGACAAGATTAAGGACCCCAATGGAAATAAGTTAGACAGTCCTCGATGGACCCACTGACTTCTTTTGGGGTTTTCCTGGTGGCTAACCCTTCTGGGTTAAAAATCCGAACGAAATCTTATCTTATCTTATCTTACCTACCACTGTCATATCCACAAGTTGCTCTAGACCTATTAATTACAAATGAAATATACACCAGGAATTCTGGTAAATATATAAATATGTGGACTGTATATTAAAATTAATGAATATATATATTATATATATATTATATAAATATTATATATAAATAATATAATATATATATTATATACCCATTATATAACAGAAGAGAATATATCTTATATCAAATCCCCAAATTTTACTGGAGATCAAGGTGTAACATACCAAAAACCCCACTGTCCTATTCATGAAATAACACTGGCCAAGTTACAACAAACAACTTATTGGGGTTCCTGAGCTGTCTGTCCAGTCGCCTGATATCTCAATTATGGAAAGGGAAAGCACATCCAACAATTCGGTCCTATTGAAGGTGTCAGCCCAATTTTTTACCTCTGAGCACGAAAATATTTTCCTCATAATCATAACGGTTTTTTTGACTCAATTCAAACATGGCGAGTCTTCTCTGCGCAGTGCAGAAATTTCCCATTTTTATAATAATTTTTATTAAATACATATACCACTATTTAATATAACTACTAATTTCTGGAAATATATACAGTATTTCCACGATACCTTCAGCGATTATTGACATGAGAGGTGTTGGTCTCGGGGTACAACCATGCGAGTTTATATAAAACTCTATTTTTTAAAGATAGACAAAATACATGCAGCCTTAATTACCCTCTTGTAGTCGATAGACTTGAAACTCATTTAACCAGCTTCCCTGTGCATTTCTAATCAAAATGTTCCGCATAATCAGGGATTTTCCAAAAATTATGGAATAAATGTCTAATTATTTTGTATCAGTTGTATAGTTTTTGAAATATAATGGGGTCCACCTCTGGTGCAAATTGTGGGACCCATAGCCTCGGAGAAGTGGATAAAAACGCTTCAAGGAAGAATATTTGGATTTCTTCCTGAAGCCATTTGAATATTCCACTTCCCTACCACCCCATCTTTTCATTCTTTTTTACCAATAAGTGTATTTTATTACATAATATATTTTGAAATATACTTTGTTTTTAATAATTTTTATTTGTATATTCTTGTAATAAGTAAGTAAGTAAGTTTATTCAGGTATACACAAATACAGTTATATACAATTATCATACATAGCAGCATATGTGTAGAGAACCTAGGATAACCCAAAAAAGTCAGACAGAGTGACTTATTTCCATTGGGGTACCCCAGGCGCTGTATAATCCTCCGGGTTTAGCGCTTCCCCCTTGATTATAATAATAATAATCCATTGGGGTCCATTTGATATCCAAGCGGAAATAAATAATAGCGTTTAACTTTATTTGGGCTATCTTAATTTAATTTACATATTGTTAATAAATAAGATAATTGTAGGTATCGTAAATTGTGTATTGAAGGTGAATAAATACTTATTTATAATTTATTATTTATAAAAAAAAGAGGTTGAAACATCCGGGACCTGTTCGCCCCTACAACTTCTAGCAGATGCTGCTTGCTAATGTTTACATGTGAAAGCTGCTGCTGCTGCTACGTTTAGCAGGGCTGTTTCAGCCAACATGTCGCGGTCCATAGAGATTCCTCTACGTGATAGCGATGAGGTAAATACATTAATAGTACAAGTGTATGCCAGGGATGCTGTATTTAGACATTTTTCCTTCCAAATCTGAGTATTTGTGTCGTTTGTGGTCTGTCTACCCCTAGCAGAGCTGTGGCAAATTTCTTATTTAGATACATTTTTCATGCGTATTTGCGTTTAAAAGTCTAGGAGCTGTTATCCTACATAGCTTATTTCAAAGCCCATCCCAGCTTAGCGTAGGCTATCATCCGCCCGGGATGCGACTGGGAAAAGTCTGCTCACTGGTACTTATTTATTTATTTTATGTCTTTGCAAACAGTACATTGAGATTTTGTATTTACAATAGTGGGTTGCAATGCAAAGAGAGCCTTTTATTATGCCTAGGCATTATGGGCCAACTTAACATTATTGGCTTACAGTCTACTTAGCACTAAGGAGTATGTCATAGTTGTACAGTAGGATAGTAATTATTTCATAGTTGTACAGTAGAATATTAATTATAAATGAATCAAAATTTGTATAATAGAAAGATATATTTATATTTGAAAATGCTTTTTGTGAAAACAATGATTCAATTATATTCCTGTCAACAATGGATAAAAGGTTCAATGTGATTGTTTCAGTTATGATGTGGGAGTACATAGGTGAGTAAATGTATACTGAGTATTTAGCATTTAGTCTAGGGTGATTAAATAGCTTTTGAGAAGAGTCTTAAATTGATTTTCAGACTGGGTTACTTTAATATCTTCTGGTAATGAATTCCATATTTTGGGGCCCTTTATGTGCATAGAGTTTTTACACAGTGTGATATGGATACGAGGTATATCATAGTAAGTAAATTTATTTAGGCACAGGTACACATAAGTACAGTTATTATACATAGTGTAAATTGCCTAGGATAACCAAAAAAGTCAAAGTAGCGCCCTTGACTGACATCTGAAGGACCTTTGTTTGATCCCATCACGAGGGGGAATGATGATCGTGTTTCCCTACACCTATTGTCTCTTTTCAGATAGGTACAAATAGGTACCTGTGTAGGAATAAGACATATGCACAACCAAAAAAAAATATGTATAGTATATTTTTAACTCTGTATTCAGATTGAAAAAGCTACCATTGGCAGAGCATTTTCTTTAATAAATGTCTTGATTGCAAATATGCCTTAATCCCAAAATCTGTCTATTTTAACATATTTGTACTTGTACAACAGGCACCGGGACATTAGCCAATTGTTGTGGGTTGCATCCTGGAAAAAGCATCGAAAGGCCCTAGTGGAATTAAGCCAGATATAATAATAATAATAAAATCTTTATTTACTACAAGTACATGTACATGGTATACAGGCCTTGCTGATATCAGTGGCATACTACTATATAGAAAGTCGCTTGTTATGCCGAGCATTTTGGGCAAATTAGATCAATGTCCCAGGATGTGACCCACATCAGTCAACTAGCACCCAGGTACCCATTTTACTGATGGGTGAACATAGACAACAGATGTAAAGAAACACGCCCAATGTTTTTGCCCTGGCTGGGAATCAAACCCGGACCCTTGAGAGCTTTAGCCACCAGGCCACCAGAGCACCAGTAGCTTCATTGGGTTATCTTGGGTTACTAACCTTGCATGTTAATAATCCAAATACAGTGGACCCCCGCTTAACGATCACCTCCCAATGCGACCAGTTATGTAAGTGTATTTATGTAAGTGCGTTTGTACGTGTATGTTTGGGGGTCTGAAATGGACTAATCTACTTCACAATATTCCTTATGGGAACAAATTCGGTCAGTACTGGCACCTGAACATACTTCTGGAATGAAAAAATATCGTTATCCGGGGGTCCACTGTAATATCCGTTTTTAGGTTAGGGTTCTTTAGAGCTTTTCCAGCTGTTACGATGGATCCTTGTGTATTTTATTCTTGACTTGCATCCCAATCAGCAGGCCAGATGAATGAAGTTACATTCAATATGTCATGTTTATCCAGGACATTATATAGTGCAAGGAGAAAATGTTGGTCAAGATACACTTCTAAAATTTTAAATGTTATAAGGTAGTAGATAATGTATGAAAGCAAATTAAATATTTTTTTACAAAATTACAGTCACAATATGACCTGAAAATAATGCCTCAAATTTTGAAAGCGTTAGGAATCTAAATAAACATGTTATAGGAAAATTGAACATAATTTTGAAATATCTGTTGTATGTAATCAAAGTCCAATGACTGTACAGTACTACTATAAAATCTTGAATAAATGTTTTATATACTATCAAGATCAATATATACTGTATGTGAAGATGTAGATACTATAACAGAAATGTTCTGTTAGGGTAATTTTGTGTTTACAGTTTGTACATGAACTTTACTTAAACCAAAACTTCTTTCTTAAACAGGTCATTGAGCTGGACTTAAGTCAACTTCCTGATGGAGATGAAGTACTGGGTATTCTTACCAATGAGAAAGTGCCACTCAATTATTGGGTGGATCTTGCTGTAAGTGTTCTGTATATTTTAAATTTTATGACTTTCCTTATTTACATTTGAAAATTGTGCAAGCCTTTAAATAAAACATCCTTGTGATTGAGATGGCATTGGTTTTTAGAAATTTCTAGCTTTGAGGGAAGGAAAAATAAAATATGTATATAGAATAAGCAGTATACCTCAAATGTATTTTTATTTATTTATCTTCCTTAGTTTTGCTTCCAAATGAGGCTATTATATCTAGGAATGACTTTGGGGAAAATTACCTTCTTGAGAGTGAGCTTGCAAGCAGTTTTCTATAAAAATTATATGGTGTGGAAGACAGTTCAGTCACATAAATTTGAAGATTTGATGGTTGCTTGTTATCTGTTACTAAATATGTAACATAAAACACTAAGGAAAGTTGTTCATACTATATCCTTTCCAATACACATGCTGTATACTGTATGTGTTGGTGTTGTCGTGTACTATGTACTTGGATATTTTGCCTTGAAACTTCTTTTAGAGTTTATGTTCACCCTATACAATTCACATAATGACCTTATATGTTGGTGCACTTGAAACATCATTTATTCATGAGTAATTTTGAAAGTTTTTCTTTTTTTGGGCCACCCAGCCATGGTGGGAGACAGCTGATGTGTTAATTAAAAAAAAAAATTTGGATTTGCTTGACTCCACCATCAGGCATTTGTAGTCTAGGCATTCCACTTGCGTAAAGTCTAGGCATTCCACTTGTGTTAAGTCTAAGTGCTTTGTGTCCACATTGTTGTAGTAAGATAATATGGCCATGCATCTGATATGGCCATCTACAGATAAGCAGAAAATCTAGAATAATTCCTAATGGAGTAAAGTTTTCTCCAAAAATTGTCATAAGTAAATGTTTCGAGTAGCACTGTTGGTTTTCATCTTCATCATAATACTTCGCTTCTTAAACATTTCTTTTGTTGCTTATATTTTTATATATTGACATAAATAAAAAGAAAAAATATTTGGTGGTTTGAGTTCTGTTGTACGCATTTTGAATGAAAGCCAGTATCTTGTCTTGCAGCAATTCAAAGACAGTGGGCACCTAACCAAATGAAGTTAGGTTGTATTGAAGCAAGCTGGGAATAGGGGTGGAGGGAGAGAGGAAAGAGAAGTGGGGAGATTTATATTCACAGGTTCATAATGTATATGCTTTAATCCTGACAGGAAAACTGGTTGGTTCAGTAGAGGAGAGAGGATAAAACAGAGGAGGATTCTGATTACATTTTGAATCCAAATTTTTCCTCATATTTTTGACCAATTGTATTTGTTTTTGGTAGACTATATGGATTTTGGTCGCCGGGTCGCCATATGGAGAAGACCCGGGCCGGAAGTACTGGTGAACTAACTCGAATCGAATTGGATTTTGGTGCCTCTATCATGCTCATGGGTTTTTTTGGTAAAAATTAGTCAAGAATTGTGATTTTTTCCTGATTCTGGCTCTTGTTAATTGTATTGGAATATGTCTGAAATTTAGAATATTTTTTTGCTTAGTTGTTTTTGGACCAAATTATTTCTTTTTGTTATATAACTGTTTGGTGCTTGTGTGATAAGCTTGTATTTTGTTGGAAAGCATTAGTTAAAAAATATTGAATCTGCAGTCTTGGAACTCATCCTTTTGCTTTACATGTTATACCAGGTTTGCTTTATGCAGTATGGGGCAGGAATGCATTTATTATGCAAAACTAGGGATACTTGTACTATGTAGTGTACTTATTTATTTTATTGTTTAAATGCTTAAATATATTAATACAATATATTCCAGATTTTGCAGTTTTACTTTGAGAACTTATTTGAAGAATGCATTAAACATTTATTTACTTGATACTCTTTATCTTCAGATTGAGTATTATGAGCAAAAAAATGAGGATGACTTTGTACGCATTTTGGAAGCAAGCCGCACTGATGCCAACACCATGTATCGTGATTCAGAGAAGGACCAGGTATGTACTGATTTGCCAAACTGTCTGTGAAAATATTTAATTTTAATTATTGAAATACATTTAGAAATGTCAAGTTAATGAGATCATCACTATATTGTAGAATTTATTTTTAATTGTTATTACTTCTTACAACTTTATTAAATTACTGTAGAGGAATTATTACTCTACAGATGCGTGCCTTTGATACACTGGCAGCTTACTATGTCCAGAAAGCCAACAAAGAGAAGGATAAAACTATCAAGAAAGATCTTTTCCAGAAAGCCACTTATCTTTATACCACTGCTGATAAAATAATCATGTATGACCAGGTAAGAAAGATAAGACATTTGTAAATCAGAGAATTTATTACCATAATCATATCTAAGTGCTAAAACCATAAATAAATCAGAGAAATGAAGGTAAACATAAAAGTACTTTTTGTATACTAATAATGGGCTGTGTACATCTCACCTTTTCAGCTTTAATTAAAAAATTGGGAAAGTTGAAATACTGGTTTTCATTCAATATTCTGTGAATGCCTTATCTGATCAGTTCAAACCTTTAGCACCAATAACTTGAGAATACAACCTCTGGCTTCAAGCTTTTAACCCTTAACCCTTTGACTGTCGAGGTCGTATATGTACGTCTTACGAGGTACCGTGTTTGACATATACTCATAAATTCTAGCGGCTTCAAATCAAGCAGGAGAAAGCTGGTAGGCCCACATGTGAGAGAATGGGTCTGTGTGGTCAGTGTGCACCATATAAAAAAAATCCTGGAGGATGCAGTGCATAATGAGAAAAAAAAAACTCCGACCGTTTTTTTTTAATTAAAATGCCGAAATTGTGGTCTATTTTCGTATAGTATTTATGGTTGTATTCTCGTTTTCTTGGTCTCATTTGATAGAATGGAAAACATATTATAGAAATAGAGGTGATTTTGATTGATTTTACTATAAAAAGAACCTGGAAATGGAGCTCAAAGTAGGGGAAATGTTCGATTTTTGCCGATGTTCAAAAGTAAACAAATGATGTCATTGTCCAATAAATGTCCAACTAGCCATTCTAATATGCAGTCATGAATGCGCTGATGTTATTTATACAATTATTACAGTATTGCAGTAGTCTGCATAACAGTAAATCTTTTATTTTTTGTTTGAATAAAAATTCAAAATAGAAAGCAAGAGTAATATCAGAGGGGCTTGGAGACATGACTGATGAACAAAGAAAATGTTATTTTAGAGCCAGGAATGTCTGCATTGTTCATTCTGGGCCTTATTTTGAAATTGTCATATTTTTAATTTTCGTGAAATTATCCATATTGCAAATTTCTGACCACGCTATTGGGTAGTTGAAATTGGTAAATGGGCAGTTTTTTGTACTCGATCGATAGAAAAAATGAATTTCTAAAAAAATAGTTACGAGTTTGGTCGACTGGAACAATGGAATTAGCCGAAAATAAGGCTCAAAGTGGGCGAAATTGCCGATTAATAAATATCGCCGAGGTTGCTAACTTTGCGAGAGCGTAATTCCGTCAGTTTTCCATCAAATTTTTGTTTTGGTGTCATTACAATCGGGAAAAGATTCTCTATCATTTCATAAGTTTTTTTTTTTTTTTTTTTTTTTTTTTTTTTTTTTTTTTTTTTTTTTTTTTTTTTTTTTTTTTTTTTTTTTTTGAAATTTTGCGACACCAGGAGACACTTCAGGATTGGGGGTTGCGACAGTCAAGGGGTTAAACTGTCCAAACGTAGATCTACGTTTTTTCAACATTTGAAAGTATGTAAAAAAAGTAGATCTTCTTTTCTTTTTTTACATTTGAAAACGTGTAAAAAAAACTTTGATCTACGTTTTTTTTTTTTTTGTTATATTTGAAAATATGTAAAAAAAAAGTAGATCAACTTTTGGAGCACTACGCATGTGAACATAAATCTGCCTGGACAGTTTAAGGGTTAAGTTCTGGTATATTTTGGCATATTGGTCTTTGAATAATAGAGAATTCCTCTTTTGATTAGCTTTAATCTCTCAAAGCTGGTGTATGTATTTTAAGTTTTAAATTGCCTTGAGCTGTGTAGTTGCCAATATGCTATTATATTGAGGAAATTAGGATATTAATTCCCGTTCAGTAACTTGTGAATTCCTCTTCTGATTGGATTTTAATCTGGAATGTTATTTAACAGTTTTAAAAGCTTAAGCCTCACTCTGTACTATTCCTTTTCTGTACATTGACATAGATGGAGCTGAGTGTTTTTGGATATGGGGATGTCTTTCTCGGATCACACAGAAACTGAAACACATCTAAGTTCATTCGTACTTATCTTCCTTTATCTGCTCAAGACTGTTTTCATTCTTTTTTACGGAGTCTTATTTCACAGTACAAGCAAATAGCAGCAGCTTCTGTTTGTTTAGCAGCTGAATCAACATTTTAAAAATATTGTGCATTTCATCCCATGAAAGATGGAGACTAAAAGAACAAGAATTAAATCTGAAAGGGTGATAGGATCTTGAGAAACCAGATGCCTGGGTTATTTATTGGGGATCTTACCAGATGAAGTGACACAAGTTTTCTGCATGGATTACCCATGCCCAATTTTGTTTTTTTTATTTCCTGGAGACTTTTTTATAAATATTGTAATAGTACTAAGTTTAGAACAATATTTATAGAAAGATGGTCTCCGAAATGCATAAGGAATCCTAATCAGAAATTAACTAAGTTATTATTTTAGCATTTAGTGTTATTTAGTGAATTTCTATTTTGTTGACATTGCAGAAGTGATTGTTGAAAATATGATAATCAATTTTTAATTTCTTATTTTTTACAGCCAATATTATAAGCCTCAATGATATTTTATCATTTGCACAGAATCATCTGCTAGGCAGAGCTTACTTTTGTCTGTTGGAGGGAGACAAAATGGAGCAGGCTGATGCACAGTTCAACTTTGTGCTCAATCAGTCTGCTAACAACATACCATCTTTACTTGGTAAAGCATGCATTGCATTTAACAAGAAGGTAAGCAGTACAGTACCTGTATTTTATTCTCAGAAATTTAATAACCAAAAACATAAAGAAATAAATCTTTACTTTGAGGGGCTTTTGATTCAAAGACTTGGACATGACCTACCCTTCCTTGGACTGAACCTGATTGCTTCCCATTTCCCCAGCACTGTATAATCCTTATAGGTTTAGCACTAATAATGTGAATCTTATTGTTAAATATTTCCACCTGTGCCCTTGCTATATTAATATGGGAAAAAAGCAGAGATAGATGGGATTATGACTTGAAGTTCTTAAGTTTCTGGTTTCTGTGTTATACAATGGTCCCTTGAGTTATGACATTAATTCATTCCAGAAACCATATCGTGCCTTAAAACAATTGCAAGTCAAACCCCAAAATACGTGGTTTTATGGTAGTCATTCCAGAAGACATATCGTACCTCAAAACAATTGTAAGTCAAACCCCAGATTATGTGATTTTATGGTACAATTCTTTCCTAAACTCTGGAGGTGCAACTTTTACTATAGCTTGAACTTTCACATTCACAGATATAACTTACAGGAGGTAGGTTACTGAAAGCAGTGAAGAGATTTTATGAGGATATTGAGGCTCAGGTTAGAGTATGTAGGAGAAAGGGAAATTATTTCCCAGTAAAAGTAGGCCTTAGACAAGGATGTGTGATGTTACCGTGGTTGTTCAATATATTTCTGGATGGGGTTGTAAGAGAAGTGAATGCGAGAGTCTTGGCAAGAGGTGTGGAGTTAAAGGATAAAGAATCAAACACAAAGTGGGAGTTGTCACAGTTGTTCTTTGCTGATGACAATGCTTTTGGGAGATTCTGAAGAGAAGTTGTAGAGGTTGGTGGATGAATTTGGTAGGTTATGTAAAAGAAGAAAATTAAAAGTGAATATAGGAAAGAGTAAGGTGATGAGGGTAACAAAAAGATTAGGTGATGAAAGATTGGATATCAGATTGGAGGGAGAGAGTATGGAGGAGGTGAATGTATTCAGATATTTAGTAGTGGACGTGTCAGCAGATGGGTCTATGAAGGATGAGGTGAATCATAGAAATGATGAGGGGAAAAGGGTGAGTGGCATGCTTACTTGTATGACTTGTATGGGTGTGAAGCATGGGTGATGAATATTGCAACGAGGAGGAAGCTGGAGGAAGTGGAGGTGTCATGTCTGAGGGCAGTGTGTGGTGTGAATATAATGCAGAGAATTCATAGTTTGGAAATTAGGAGAAGGTGTGGGATTACCAAAACTATTATTCAGAGGGCTGAGGAGGGGTTGTTGAGGTGGTTCGGACATGTAGAGAGATTTGAATAAAATAGAATGACTTTGAGAGGGTATAAATCTGTAGTGGAGGGAAGGCAGGGTAGGGGTCGGCCTAGGAAGGGTTGGAGGGAGGAGGTAAAGGAGGTTTTGTGTGCAAGGGGCGTGGAATTCCAGCAAGCATGTGTGAGCATATTTGATAGGAGTGAATGGAGACAAATGATTTTTAATACTTGACATGCTGTTGGAGTGTGAGCAAAGTAGCATTTATGAAGGGATTCAGGGAAACCGGCAGGCCGGACATGAGTCCTGGAGATAGGAAGTACAGTGTCTGCACTCTGAAGGAGGGGGTGTTAATGTTGCAGTTTTGTAACTGTAGTGTAAGGCACCCCTCTGGCAAGACAGTGATGGAGTGAATGATGGAAGTTTTTCTTTTTTGGGCCACCCTGCCTTGGTGGGAATCGGCCAATGTCTTAATAAAATAAAATAACTTGCAGGTGCTACATCTCCCTTCATTTGGTTCTCTCTTATCTGCAGTAGCAACAGTCTTTCCATCTCTTTGATAATTTCTTTAACTTTTTCACTACCTTAGATTTGTCAGCCAATTTAATATCTTTTATCATGTCTATTTGCTTGATAATAGTAGAGAGGGTTGATTGTGAAAAACCATATTCATGAATTAATTTTAACTCCTGCATCATTTTTTCACAATTTCTTGTTTGATCTTCAGAGAAATTGCCTTTTTACTGGGCACTTTAAGGGCCTTGATGACTAGTAACTCAAAACATGGCATAATTAAATCAAATGCTTATCATATCTCAAATTTTTCATTTGCAACTCGAAACCAAGTTCCATTGAGATTCAGTTGTAACGCAGAATTATCGTAACTCCAGCCTATGGTAACTCAAGGGACCACTGTATTGTACATAATTATTTTGTTAATTTAGCTCTAATTAGAATTTTTACATTACATCACATCTATAAAATATATCTATTACCTCTGTCTCTAATTTTCTTATTAATACAAGCATTCATTTATTATCAGACTGCAATGGGATCTGATTTTCTTTTTTTTTTTTTTATACTTAATAAATATGCCCAGAGTAATGCCACTCATCCTTAGAGTTGCAGACCCCTCAAAAAAATTGTGAAAAATAATGAAAAGTATTGAAAGACTTATTCAGGCTATCATCAACACACATGTTATTGTTGGGTTGAAGTTTGTAATGACTCAAAGTCATAAACCAACCGAATCTTCGGGCTGGTTTCACTCGCTAAAACTTGCCACCTTTGTCTGGTCTACTGCATATGGTACCTAACTGCTGTGAGATTTGATAACAAGAATGTTTTTATAAATTTATTTGTTCAATTCTTGTTAACTTTTTTTAAAAAATCTCCAATTCAAGTGTGATTCACTAAAATCTATCACTGTACTGTAAGTAATGGCACAGGTACCTCTTAATTTATATATACTACTATTATTTTTAATGCAATATTTTAAAAAAAGATCCATAATAGATACTATTAATTAATGTCAAATTTGGTACAGTAGAGAATAACTAAATATATATGGTCTTATTACTTTTCCTTTTATATCCATGGGGAAGTGGAATAAGAATCTTTCCTCAGTAAGCCATGCGTGTTGTAAAAGTCAACTAAAATGCCGGGAACAATGGGCTAGTAACCCCTTTTCCTGTAAAGATCACTAAAAAGAATAAGAAGAAGAAAATTGTCAAAGTGGGAAGTCTGAATGTTCGTGGATGTTGTGCAAATGATAATAAAGAGATGATTGTGGATGTTATGAATGAGAAGAAACTGGATGTCCTGGCTTTAAGTGAAACAAAGCTGAAGGGGGTGGGAGAGTTTCAATGGAGAGGAATAAATGGGATTAGGTCAGGGGTTTCAAATAGAGTTAGAGCTAAAGAAGGAATAGCAATAATGTTCAAGGATAAGCTATGGCAGGAAAAGAGGGACTACAAATGTATAAATTCAAGGATTATGTGGAGTAAAATAAAGATTGGATGTGAAAAGTGGGTTATAGTGTGTATGCACCTGGAGAAGAGAGAAGTGTAGAGGAGAGAGAGAGATTCTGGGAAATGTTGAGTGAATGCGTGGGGAGTTTTGAATCAAGTGTGAGAGTAATGGTGGTTGGGGATTTCAATGCTAAAGTGGGTAAAAATGTTATGGAGGGAGTAGTAGGTAAATTTGGGATGCCAGGGGTAAATGTAAATGGGGAGCCTTTAATTGAGCTATGTGTAGAAAGAAATTTGGTAATAAGTAATACATATTTTATGAAAAAGAGGATAAATAAATATGCAAGGTATGATGTAGCACGTAATGAAAGTAGTTTGTTAGATTATGTATTGGTGGATAAAAGGTTGATGGGTAGGCTCCAGGATGTACATGTTTATAGAGGGACAACTGATATATCGGATCATTATTTAGTTGTAGCTACAGTTAGAGTAAGAGGTAGATGGGAAACGAGGAAGGTGGCAACAACAAGTAAAGGGAGGTGAAAGTGTATAAACTAAGGGAGGAGGAAGTTCGGGTGAGATATAAGCGACTATTTGCAGAAAGGTGGGCTAGTGCAAAGATGAGTAGTGGGGGGGTTGAAGAGGGTTGGAATAGTTTTAAAAATGCAGTATTAGAATGTGGGGCAGAAGTTTGTGGTTATAGGAGGGTGGGGGCAGGAGGAAAGAGGAGTGACTGGTGGAATGATGAAGTAAAGGGTGTGATAAAAGAGAAAAAGGTAGCTTATGAGAGGTTTTTACAAAGCAGAAGTGTTATAAGAAGAGCAGAGTATATGGAGAGTAAAAGAAAGGTGAAGAGAGTGGTGAGAGAGTGCAAAAGGAGAGCAGATGATAGAGTGGGAGAGGCACTGTCAAGAAATTTTAATGAAAATAAGAAAAAATTTTGGAGTGAGTTAAACAAGTTAAGAAAGCCTAGGGAAAGTATGGATTTGTCAGTTAAAAACAGAGTAGGGGAATTAGTAGATGGGGAAAGGGAGGTATTAGGTAGATGGCGAGAATATTTTGAGGAACTTTTAAATGTTGAGGAAGAAAGGGAGGCGGTAATTTCATGCACTGGCCAGGGAGGTATACCATCTTTTAGGAGTGAAGAAGAGCAGAATGTAAGTGTGGTGGAGGTACGTGAGGCATTACGTAGAATGAAAGGGGGTAAAGCAGCTGGAACTGATGGGATCATGACAGAAATGTTAAAAGCAGGGGGGGATATAGTGTTGGAGTGGTTGGTACTGTTTAATAAATGTATGAAAGAGGGGAAGGTACCTAGGGATTGGCGGAGAGCATGTATAGTCCCTTTATATAAAGGGAAAGGGGACAAAAGAGATTGTAAAAATTATAGAGGAATAAGTTTACTGAGTATACCAGGAAAAGTATAGGGTTAGGGTTATAATTGAAAGAATTAGAGGTAAGACAGAATGTAGGATTGCGGATTGAGCAGGAGGCTTCAGAGTGGGTAGGGGATGTGTAGATCAAGTGTTTACATTGAAGCATATATGTGAACAGTATTTAGATAAAGGTAGGGAAGTTTTTATTGCATTTATGGGTTTAGAAAAGGCATATGATAGAGTGGATAGAGGAGCAATGTGGCAGATGTTGCAAGGTATATGGAATAGGTGGTAAGTTACTAAATGCTGTTAAGAGTTTTTATGAGGATAGTGAGGCTCAGGTTAGGGTGTGTAGAAGAGAGGGAAAATACTTCCCGGTAAAAGTAGGTCTTAGACAGGGATGTGTAATGTCGCCATGGTTGTTTAATATATTTATAGATGGGGTTGTAAAAGAAGTAAATGCTAGGGTTTTTCGGGAGAGGGGTGGGGTTAAATTATGGGGAATCAAATTCAAAATGGGAATTGACACAGTTACTTTTTGCTGATGATACTGTGCTTATGGGAGATTCTAAAGAAAAATTGCAAAGGTTAGTGGATGAGTTTGAGAATGTGTGTAAAGGTAGAAAGTTGAAAGTGAACATAGAAAAGAGTAAGGTGATGAGGGTATCAAATGATTTAGATAAAGAAAAATTGGATATCAAATTGGGGAGGAGGAGTATGGAAGAAGTGAATGTTTTTAGATACTTGGGAGTTGACGTGTCGGCGGATGGATTTATGAAGGATGAGGTTAATCATAGAATTGATGAGGGGAAAAAGGTGAGTGGTGCGTTGAGGTATATGTGGGGTCAAAAAACGTTATCTATGGAGGCAAAGAAGGGAATGTATGAAAGTATAGTAGTACCAACACTCTTATATGGATGTGAAGCTTGGGTGGTAAATGCAGCAGCGAGGAGACGGTTGGAGGCAGTGGAGATGTCCTGTCTAAGGGCAATGTGTGGTGTAAATATTATGCAGAAAATTCGGAGTGTGGAAATTAGGAGAAGGTGTGGAGTTAATAAAAGCATTAGTCAGAGGGCAGAAGAGGGGTTGTTGAGGTGGTTTGGTCATTTAGAGAGAATGGATCAAAGTAGAATGACATGGAAAGCATATAAATCTATAGGGGAAGGAAGGAGGGGTAGGGGTCATCCTCGAAAGGGTTGGAGGGGGTAAAGGAGATTTTGTGGGCGAGGGGCTTGGACTTCCAGCAAGCGTGCATGAGCGTGTTAGATAGGAGTGAATGGAGACGAATGATACTTGGGACCTGACGATCTTTTGGGGTGTGAGCAGGGTAATATTTAGTGAAGGGATTCAGGGAAACCGGTTATTTTCATATAGTCGGACTTGAGTCCTGGAAATGGGAAGTACAATGCCTGCACTTTAAAGGAGGGGTTTGGGATATTGGCAGTTTGGAGGGATATGTTGTGTATCTTTATACGTATGTGCTTCTAAACTGTTGTATTCTGAGCACCTCTGCAAAAACAGTGATAATGTGTGAGTGTGGTGAAAGTGTTGAATGATGATGAAAGTATTTTCTTTTTGGGGATTTTCTTTCTTTTTGGGTCACCCTGCCTCGGTGGGAGACGGCCGACTTGTTGAAAAAAAAAAAAAAAAAAATATGGCTTATGCATACTTAAAGACAGCTCTGTAAAACTTTGGTAACAATTTCTTCGTATTTTAATCCTGACTATGCAAAAGATATGAAAACACTATGCATTGGCTGCTCTGCAGGAAACAACTAATAGTATTATACAGTTAGACCTATGATTTCCTTGGTGATAAAGAATTTATATGCTGTACTGTATGAATATTATCACCAGTTTCTCAGAGGATATGAAAACTGCATATGTTGACCTCTGATAAAGACGAAACATAATTCACTCCTATATGTAAGGATGACTGAAAGTACACCTCTTACTTAGGCTTGAGATTATGCTAAAATCTGGCCCAGGTTGCCTTGAGGTTGATAATATACAGTAGGTTGGTTAATAGGTTAAACCATACCTGCATTGTTGGATAATTTTTATGTTTCTAATCTTAGGTCTTCTGCATACTCAGATTTCTCTTGCAATTAATTTTACAGTAACTTATTTTGGGAATTCTGCCAAATCAAATACAATGATTGATTTTGTTGGACCTTAGAATTTATATCTCAGATAGCTAATTGTTGGATAATAGATGAATAACAACAGTATATATCTGACATTTCATTTTAATAATAAACACATGTAATCTTACTGACAGGATTATCGAGGTGCATTAGCATTTTACAAAAAAGCTTTGAGAACAAATCCTAACTGTCCAGCTGCAGTTCGTCTAGGAATGGGCCATTGTTTCATGAAGCTTGGGAACCAGGATAAGGCTCGCTTAGCATTTGAACGGGCTTTAGAGTTGGATGGAATGTGTGTTGGAGCCTTAGTTGGCCTGGCAGTGTTGGAACTTAACGAGAAGAAGCCAGAAAATATTCGCCGGGGAGTTCAGATGCTTTCAAAGGCATACAATATTGATTCAACTAACCCAATGGTGTTAAATCACCTGGGTAATCACTTCTTCTTTAAACAGGTATGAAAGGTTAATTGTGCATTTTATTTCCTAATACAGTGGAACCTTGGTATACGACCTTAATTCATTCCAGAAGGCTGTTTGAGTGCTGCTCCATTTGAGTATCGAACAAGTTCTTCCCAACCAATTTTCTGTTTGGTTGGCTGTTATCACTAATCATTGTAGGCTCCATGGTGACTTATTTATACAAATAATAGAAAAAACACCAAAAAATGCGAAGAAACACGAAATACGTAGTTTACAACGAAGTTCTGGCAAGTCGTATTTGTTTGGTCGAGTGATGAACTTTGTTCAAGTAGGGAACTGGTTGTATACCGAGGTTCCACTGTATTTCTACTAAATTAGAAAAATGTTTCATAGGAATAAATACGATATAATGTGTGTGTTTGCTACATACAGTATTATATTTCCATTTATATAAAGAAAAAATTTTTTATTTCATGGTTTCTGTGCTTGTCATTTTCAGGACTTCCAAAAAGTTCAACATCTGGGTCTACATGCATTTCACAACACTGAAAATGAATCTATGCGTGCTGAGTCTTGTTATCAGATGGCTCGAGCTTTTCATGTGCAAGAAGATTACTCACAAGCGTTCCAGTATTACTATCAGGCTACCCAATATGCTGCTCCAAATTTTGTTCTTCCTCACTATGGTCTGGGCCAGATGTATATCAACAGAGGTGACACAGAGAATGTAAGATTACCATAAATAATACTTTTCACTAACTGGTGTACTGGTCTTTTAAGTAGTCTTGTGTTGATTTTGAATAGTTATAGTACTGCCATTTTATTTGAGCATTTTGAACAGTGCAACACCTAGTAACATTTTATAAAGGTTTTACGAGATAAAGGAACACACACTGTATAATAAAGTAATAATACCTACTATTCAAGGAAGGTTCCTTGATGCTAGTGAGGGGGCTCTTCATCTAAAGAATCGAACCTGCCTTCCCTTCCTTGGATTGTTATTGAATGCTGTCCATTTTCCCAGGCACTGTATGACCTCTAAGAGGTTTAGTGGTTCCCCATGAATGTAATAAGTAGCAGTAGTGTTAACTATATAGGATGCTAGATTTTAGCCTTGTTCATACTTTGGTTTGAAAAATTTAACTTTTGTGAATAAATACTTATGTAAATAAATAATTTATTGGTTTTCAGGCAGCACAATGTTTTGAAAAAGTATTAAAGGCACAGCCAGGCAATTATGAGACAATGAAGATCCTGGGCTCCTTATATGCCAGTTCCACATCTCAGAGTAAGCGAGACTTAGCCAAACAGCATCTTAAAAAGGTAAGCAGTTGTATAATATTGGGCCTGAAGGTCTTTTGCAATTTCTGTATTATGTTTACTTCATGATTCTCTTCTAATCTTTTTGTATTGTCAGTAAAACCTGGTAACCTATCACCCTAATACAAGCTAGCCATTGTATCACATGAATGTTGTATTTATTGTGGCAATCTACTGATTAATGTTACTTCAGATGTGTAATATGTTAAGAGATATATGCATTTACTTGAGTTTTGAAAGTGGGAAATGCAGTGCATGCACTCTAAAAGTTGGGTAGGTATTTTGCAGTTTTGTGGGTTATTGGAATTGTAGTATCTGTATTCTGGAAAGAGTTATAGAACAAGTGATAGTTAATGTACTCTCTGCTTTTGAGTTACCCCTCCCTGGGGAAAAGAGCGACTGATGTTAAAATAATCATAAATATTGATATGGATTTTTTTTTTCAGGTGACAGAACAATATAGTGAAGATGTGGAGGCGTGGATTGAACTAGCACAGATCTTAGAGGGCAGTGACCTTCAAGGTTCCCTCTCTGCTTATCACAAAGCTACTAAGCTCTTGCAGGACCTTGTACAAATGGACATTCCTCCTGAGATCCTTAACAACATAGCTGCATTGCATTTTAGGTGAGTGGCATAAGCCTCAATTTAATTTGTTCCCATCAGGTTAATATGAATCTGTATTGCATTTTTAGTTAACAATATAATTATTAGGTGCAGCGGAACTGCGGTTTTCGTTTTTAGTTTGTTCCAGAGAGTGACGAAAACCAAATTCGACAAAAACTAAAGCAATATTTCCCATAAGAAATAATGTAAATCCAATTAATCCATGACTTAAGAAATCGTAATGACACGATTGCAAATAAACCATACCCCCTTGGGCCGGTGATTTGGAAGATACCCGAGCGGGATGAAGTCTCAAATACTTCCAGCCCGTCGCGTTAGCCACTAGACCAGCTAGCCACAATAAGATTCATCCAACTAGGTATATTTCTACACCATAGGAAAGTTAGCACAGAGGTGCCTGTGCTAACTTTCCTATGGTGTAGAAATATACCTAGTTGGATGAATCTTATTGTGGCTAGCTGGTCTAGTGGCTAACGCGACGGGCTGGAGTTTTGAGACTCTATGACCGCGGGTTCAATCCCGGCCGGGGGTATGGTCAATTAATCCATTCCAGACACCCAAAAATATTAACACTAATTTTAAAGGATAAATAAACATTTAAATCAGTTTTACCTTTATTGAGGACTCTTGTTGGTGTTTGGAAGATGGTGAGGAGGGGAGAGGGAGGAGAGGTTATCTCTACCACCATCACTACTAGCCTCTACCATAATCACTACCACCCTCTACCACCATCAGAACCACTACCACCCTCGACCACAATGACTACCACCCTCTGCCACCATCAGAACCAGTACCACCCTCGACCACCATCACTACCACCCTCTGCCACAGTCACTACCACCATCACAACCACTACCACCCTCTACCACTATCACTACTACCCTCTACCACCATTGAATTCTATTGTGTTTCTTGCCTTCTTTATCAAAGGGCTGGCACTTGGAACTTTCTTTTACCCCATGGTGGCTTATTGAGCAGTCGCACTCAGTGAGCAAGTACACAAAACATATTATTACGAAATGTTTCGATTGAATGGGTAGGGTAATGTTCACTCAACGAGAAACAAAGCCAGACTGACTCGGAATGCGTGCGTGGGATGCTTTGTGTGGGCGCCAGCAGACGGACACGTTCAGTACGGTGGACGAAAGCTGGGACAATATTTTGACGAAAAATTCATCGAAAACCGAATTCAGTGAAAACCAGGGCAAACGAAAACCAAGGTTTCACTGTACTTTTATGCATACTGTATTTTTTTCTTCATGAAATTATGATGCAAATTTTTATTAATCCACAATTAACCCTTTGACTGTTTACGCCTTATAAATACGTCTTACGCACCACTGTTTCTGACGTATATATACTCAATAATTCTAGCGGCTTCAAATCAAGCGGGAGAAAGCTGGTAGGCCCACATGTGAGAGAATGGGTCTGTGTGGTCACTGTGCACCACATAAAAAAAATCCTGCAGCACACAGTGCGTAATGAGAAAAAAAAAACTGATCGTTTTTTTGGATTAAAGCGCCGACTTTGAGGTGTATTTTCGTATAGTATTTATCGTTGTATTCACGTTTTCATGGTCTTAGGTGATAAAATGGAAAACATATTACAGAAATAGAGATGATTTTCATTACTTTGACGATGAAAACGACCTTGAAACTGAGCTCAAAGTAGCAGAAATGTTCGATTTTTACCAATGTTCAGGAGTAAACAAATCACACCACACATCCAATACACGTCAACAGGGGAGTCTGATATTCTTTCACTAGTGCGCTGATATTATTTATACCATTTTTACAATAATGCAGTAGTCTGCATAACAGTAAATTTTGTATTTTTTTGTATGAATAAAAAATCAAAATAGAAAGCAATAATAATATAAGAGGGGTCTAGAGATGTGACCAATGAACAGAGTATATGTTATTTTAGTGCCAAGAATGTCTACCTTGTTTATTCTGGACCCTATTTTGAAATTGGCATCTTTTTTATTTTGCTTGAAATTGGCCAAATTGCCAATTTCTGACCACTGTATTGGGTAGTTCAAATTAGTAAATGGGCGGTTTTTTGTACTCAGCTGATAGATAAAATGGAGTTCTAAAGAAATAGCTGAGTTTGGTCAACTGGAACAACGGAATTGGCTGAAAACAGGGCTCAAAATCGGCGAAATCGCCAATACACATGTGTCGCCAAGACCGCTAACTTCGCGGGAGCGTAATTCTGTGAGTTTTCGACCAAATTTCGAACTTTTGGTGTCATTACCATCGGGAAAAGATTCTCTATCATTTCATAAGAAAAAATAACTTTTTTTTTTTCAAAAATTTATCGACATAGAATGACAGTTTCAGAAAGGGGCCTGCGACAGTCAAAGGGTTAATAAACAAGATGAAAAATAGAGTGGATATTTGGAACTGCTTTATATGTCAGTGTTGCAAGTTTATAGTGCAATTTTTAGTACAGCTACATGTAGCTGCTTGAATTGGAATTATTTTTTCTCAACATGAGCACATGCCTATGCAAGGAAAAATTCTTGGGAGTGGAACATGGGCAGTGATATACAGTACTGGATGTATTTTCATTTACTGCCTTCTCAATATTAGCCCAGTTTAAGTAGAACTGGGTGAAAGAATTAATTATGTAAGAAACAAGAGTTGGGAGCAGTGTTGGTAGATTGGGTATAAGGATTTAATTTTGTTAATGTCTCTTCTTGAAGCTTGTATATTTTCACAATACTGTATATCACTGTAGGACTTTGTTTCCATATTAATTTAGTTATTTAACCCTTTGAGGGTCAGAGAATTAAAAGAAAATTGTATTTCTTATGAAATGATAAAGAATCTTTTTCTGAAGGTAGTGAAACCAAAAGTACAAAATTTAATGGAAAACTTATGGAATTACACTCCTGCAAACTTGACAGTTTTGGCGATATTTATGCATCAGCAATTTTGCCCAATTTGAGCCCTATTTTCAGCCAATTCCATTGTTCTGGTGAAAAAACTCATAGCTATTTTGCTAGTATTCCTTCTATTCTAATGAGTGAATACAAGAAACCACCCATTTTTCCTCTTTCAACTACCCAATAAAGTGATCAGAAATTGGTAATTTGGACAATTTCACACAAAACAAAAATTTTTGGCAGTTTAAAAATAGGGTCCAGAATAAACACTGTAGACATTTCTGCCACTTAAAAACATTTCCTCTGTTTATTAGTTACATCCCCAGGCATCTCTTATATTACGCTTGCTTTCCATTTTTTATTTTTATTCACACAAAAAAGTAGAAGATTTACTGCTATGTTGACTACTGCATTATTGTAATAATTGTATAAATAATGTCAGCACATTTATGAACATGTTTTAGACTGACCAGTTGGACCCATATTGGACGAGTGACATAATTTGTGTACTCTGGAAAATCGGCAAAAATCGAACATTTCTGCTAATTTGAGCTCAATTTCAAGCTACTTTCAGCCCTGAAATCAATCAAAATCATTTCTATTTTTGTAATATATCTTCCACTCTATCAAACGAGATCAAGAAACTGAGAATACAACCATAAAAGCCATACGAAAAGTGCTCCCCCCCAAAGTCGCTGTTTTAAACCAAAAACAGGGTTGTAGTTTAATTTTTTTTTCCATTATGCACTGTGTGCTGCAGGATGTTTTTGTATGGTGCACACTGCATAGACCCATGCTCTCATGTCTAGGCCCAAATTTACAGCTCACGGCTTATCTGAGAGAGCTGAGCTCATCACATAAAACAGTGGGACCAACCCAGGCTTCAAAGCCATAGTACAATGGTGCCCCTCCTGAAAAGGTTATTTAGAGCATGTGTTAATTAACTCTTAACTGTCCAAACGTAGATATATGTTCACTCGCATACTGCTTCAAACATACATTTACGTTTTATTTTACATTTGAAGGCATGTAAAATAAAACGTAGATGTACGTTTGGAGTGCTACACAAGTGAACGTAAATCTATGTTTGGACAATTTAAGGGTTAAATATGCCAGGGATTAGATAAAAGAGGTAAGCTATAGATCATGCAGTGTATGTAAATATTAGCAGTAACTTTCCACAGATGTTAGAGATGAGGTCAATGTTTTGAGTGTACTCTTTCTTCTTTTACAGCTGTAGTACTGTTCATGTAACTGTGTGTGTTTACTTAGTTACATACGAACAACATGTATATAACCAGCTGACTTTTGTTAAGGCTTTGTGTATTTAAGAACCTTATGTAATGATGACTGGGTCTTTGGCCTTATCCCAGATGTATACCAATGTTAGCTATGGAATGATTCTATTTTAAAGAAGAGTTTCACATCATGTTTTTGTTTCACAGACTTGGCAATTATGAAGAGGCTCACAAACACTTCAAGGGGGCTTGGGACCGTTGTGAAGCTGAGAAAGAACAAGACCCCCAGTACTACTCGTCCATCTCTGTTACCATCAAGTATAACTCTGCTCGGTTGCACGAGATGTTTTGTCAGTATGATAAGGCAGAGAAGCTGTACAAAGAAATCCTCCAAGATCATCCCAATTATGTGGACTGTAAGCTATATTTTAAAGTAAAAGGACATAAGTGCAACTAATGTGACATTTTATTGTGGCAATGTTTCGCTCTCCAGGAGCTTTGTCAAACCGGCTTGACAAAGCTCCTGGAGAGCAAAACGTTGCCACAATAAAATGTCACATTAGTTGCACTTGTGTCCTTTTACTTTACATATTGTTGGTAATTGTACCAACATATATATAAGCTATATTTTGTTTGAAATTGTGACCTGAGGATATTAAAGGAAATTTATTCACAATGTCTCATTGGTAATGTATTTAAATTACAATATTGTTTTGAGTAAATGCACTTAACCTTATGTGTTTGGATCTTAGCACTACCAGAATTTGGTTATTCACTTTATTTATTATGACTTAAGTTTTATTACTGAACATTTTCACTTTATGGTTTTGTGTGCCTCCACAATGAAGCAGTCAGTGTGCCATATGGTGAAATAATTTTTTCATCTTATATACAATTTAGTACAAGATTTTATAATACACATACATATTGATGATTTTTCTATTGTGCAGAATTGAGGTATAGCAGCTGGCCTCAGTCAGCCTATGCAGCATGGTTATGCAATATTTTCTCCAATTTTACATTATTCATTAATTAAAAGTACTTCTTGTAGTGTTTTAATGTGTAAAGGCATCTGATGTGTATCATTTTTTTTTAACACACCGGCCATTTCCCACCAAGGCAGGGTGACCCAAAAAAGAAGAAACACTTTGATCATCATTCACTCCATCACTGTCTTGTCAGAGGTACACCTACACTACAGTTAAAAAACTGCAATATGAACACCCTTCAGAGTGCAGGCACTGTAGTCCCAACCTCTAGGACTCAAGTCTGGCTTGCTGGTCTTCCTGAATCCTTTGATAAATGTTACCTTGCTCACACTCCAACAGCACATCAAGTCATAAAAACCATTCGTCTCCACTTGCTCATGTCTAACATGCTCACGCATGCTTGCTGGAAGTCCAGGCCCCTCGCACACAAAACCTCCTTTACCCCGTCCCTCCAACCTTTCTTAGGCCTATGGATTTTCTTGAAAGTATTCACACCACACACTGCCCTCAGACACGACATCTACACTGCCTTCAGCCTTCTCCTTGTTGCAACATTTACTGCTTCACACCCATATAAGAGGGTTGGTATAACTACTCTCTCATACATTACTCCTTTTTGCTTCCATGGATATCTCCTCAGTACACTACTCACCTTTTTCCCCTCATCAGTTCTATGATTCACCTCGTCTTTCATAGACCCATCTGCTGAGAAGTTCACTCCCAAATATCTGAATACATTCACTTCTTCCATACTCCCTCTCTCCAATCTGATATCCAGTCTTTCATTACCTAAATTTCTTGTTATCCTCATCACCTTACTCTTTCTTATGTTCATTTTTAATTTCCTTCCTCACTTTTAATATTCCAAACTCGGTCACCAAACTGCAACGTCTCTTCAGAATCTCCCAAAAGCACAGTGTCATCAGCAAAAAGCAACTGTGACAACTCCCACTTTGTTAGATTCTTTATCTTTTAATCCCACACTTCTTGCCAACACCTGAGCATTCACTTCTCTTACAACCCCGTCTCTACAGTGGACCCCCGCGAATTTGCAAATTCATGGAATTGTTTTTGGCTTTTTTCATAGCATTATATAATTTTTTATGCATTTTAACACTAAATATTAAGAAAAATATAATTTAATAATTTTGTAACATAAATCTTCTTTCAACACACCGGCTGTATCCCACTGAGGCGGGGTGGCCCAAAAGGAAAAACGAAAGTTTCTACTTTTACATTTAGTAATATATACAGGAGATGGGGTTACTAGGCCTTTCTCCTGGCATTTTAGTTGCCTCTTAAAACACGCATGGCTTGCGGAGGAAGAATTCTGTTCCAGTTCCCCATGGAGATAAGAGGAAATAAACAAGAACAGGAACTAGAAAGAAAATAGGAGAAAACCCAGAGGGGTGTGTATATGCTTGTACATGTATGTGTAGTGTGACCTAAGTGTAAGTAGAAGTAGCAAGACGTACCTGAAATCTTGCATGTTTAAGAGACAGAAAAAAGACACCAGCAATCCTACCATCATGTAAAACAATTACAGGATTCCATTTTACACTCGCTTGGCAGGACGGTAGTACCTCCCTGGGCGGTTGCTGTCTACCAACCTACTACCTATACTAAATTGAATTATTACCATATATTATTACCATATATATATGCTTCTAAACTGTTGTATTCTGAGCACCTCTGCAAAAACAGTGATTATGTGTGAGTGTAGTGAAAGTGTTGAATGATGATGAAAGCATTTTCTTTTTGGGGATTTTCTTTCTTTTTTGGGTCACCCTGCCTCGGTGGGAGACGGCCGACTTGTTGAAAAAAAAAAGAAAAAATTTACCATATGTAAACCAAAGAAAATGGGGTTGCATGAATTACTGTACATATGGGGGTAACATCGGCATTTTACATTCTGCAGGAGATATAGCAGTACAGTACTGTATATGGGTTTATCTTTACATTTTTTTTTTAAGGGTGATGTATGAAGCTGAGTTCGAAAATAAATTAAAGTGTTTGGGGGCATATTTTGGGTTTAAACTATAAAAATAGGCATTTATAGGCATTTTTTTAACCACATCCAGAATTCGCGTTTTTTTTCAAATTCGTGGGTGGTCTTGGAACGTAACTCCAGCGAATTTGGGGGGACTACTGTATACACATAGAACAACCATGGTGACATCACACATCTCTGTCTAAGGCCTACTTCTACTGGGAAATAATCTCCCTCTCTCTCAAATACTCTAATCTGAGCCTCACTATCCTTGAAAAAACTCTTCACTGCTTTCGGTAACCTACTTCCTATTCCATGTAGCTGCATCATCTGCCACATTGCCCCCCTCTCCATAAATGCAACAAAAACCTCTTTACCCTTATCTAAATACTGTTCTTTCTTCTTCTTTCAACGTACCAGCCGTATCCCACTGAGGCGGGGTGGCCCAAAATAAAAAACTGAAGTTTCTCCTTTTAAATTTAGTAATATATACAGGAGAAGGGGTTACTAGCCCCTTGCTCCCGGCATTTTAGTCGCCTCTTACAACACGCATGGCTTACAGAGGAAGAATTCTGTTCCACTTCCCCATGGAGATAAGAGGAAATAAACAAGAACAAGAATTAGAAAGAAAATAGAAGAAAACCCAGAGGGGTGTGTATATATATGCTTGTACATGTATGTTTAGTGTGACCTAAGTGTAAGTAGAAGTAGCAAGACTTACCTGTAATCTTGCATATTTATGAGACAGACAAAAGACACCAGCAATCCTACCATCATGTAAAACAATTACAGGCTTTCGTTTTACACTCACTTGGCAGGACGGTAGTACCTCCCTGGGCGGTTGCTGTCTACCAACCTACTACCTATACTAAATTGAATTATTACCATATATTATTACCATATATATATGCTTCTAAACTGTTGTATTCTGAGCACCTCTGCAAAAACAGTGATTATGTGTGAGTGTAGTGAAAGTGTTGAATGATGATGAAAGCATTTTCTTTTTGAGGATTTTCTTTCTTTTTTGGGTCACCCTGCCTCGGTGGGAGACGGCCGACTTGTTGAAAAAAAAAAAGAAAAAATTTACCATATGTAAACCAAAGAAAATGGGGTTGCATGAATTACAGTACATATGGGGGTAACATCGGCATTTTACATTCTGCAGGAGATATAGCAGTACAGTACTGTATATGGGTTTATCTTTACATTTTTTTTTTAAGGGTGATGTATGAAGCTGAGTTCGAAAATAAATTAAAGTGTTTGGGGGCATATTTTGGGTTTAAACTATAAAAATAGGCATTTATAGGCATTTTTTTAACCACATCCAGAATTCGCGTTTTTTTTCAAATTCGTGGGTGGTCTTGGAACGTAACTCCAGCGAATTTGGGGGGACTACTGTATACACATAGAACAACCATGGTGACATCACACATCCCTGTCTAAGGCCTACTTCTACTGGGAAATAATCTCCCTCTCTCTCAAATACTCTAATCTGAGCCTCACTATCCTTGAAAAAACTCTTCACTGCTTTCGGTAACCTACTTCCTATTCCATGTAGCTGCATCATCTGCCACATTGCCCCCCTCTCCATAAATGCAACAAAAACCTCTTTACCCTTATCTAAATACTGTTCACTTGTATGTTTCTCTGTAAACACTTAGTCTACACAGCCTCCTTGTTCATCTGCGATCCTGCTCTCCATCTTATTCTTAATTCTTTCTGTAATAACTCCCATACACTTTACCAGGTATACTCAACAGGCTTTTTTTTTTTTTTTTTTTTTAACAAGTCGGCCATCTCCCACCGAGGCAGGGTGGCCCAAAAAGAAAAAAAATCCCCAAAAAGAAATTACTTTCATCATCATTCAACACTTTCACTTCACTCACACATAATCACTGTTTTTGCAGAGGTGCTCAGAACACAACAGTTTAGAAGCATATACGTATAAAGACACGCAACATATCCCTCCAAACTGCCAATATCCCGAACCCCTCCTTTAGAGTGCAGGCATTGTGCTTCCCATTTCCAGGACTCAAGTCCGGCTATATAAAAATAACCGGTTTCCCTGAATCCTTTCACTAAATATTACCTTGCTTACACTCCCACAGATCGTCAGGTCCCAAATACCATTTGTCTCCATTCACTCCTATCGAACACGCTTACGCACACCTGATGGAAGTCCAAGCCCCTCGCCCACGAAACCTCCCTTACTCCTTCCTTCCAACCTTTTTGAGGATGACCCCTATCCCGCCTTACTTCCCCTACAGATTTATACGCTCTCCATGTCATTCTACTTTGATCCATTCTCTCTAAATGACCCAACCACCTCAACAAACCCTCTTCAGCCCTCTGACTAATACTTTTATTAGCTCCACACCTTCTCCTAATTTCCACACTCCAAATTTTCTGCATAATATTTACACCACACATTGCCCTTAGACAGGACATCTCCACTGCCTCCAACCGCCTCCTCACTGCTGCATTCACAACCCAAGCTTCACACCCATATAAGAGTGTTGGTACTACTATACTTTCATACATTCCCTTCTTTGCCTCCATAGATAACTTTGTTTGTCTCCACATATACCTCAATGCACTACTCACCTTTTTTTCCTCATCAGTTCTATGATTAACCTCATCCTTCATAAATCCATCCGCCGACACGTCAACTCCCAAGTATCTGAAAACATTCACTTCTTCCATACTCCTCCTCCCCAATTTGATATCCAATTTTTCTTTATCTAAATAATTTGATACCCTCATCACCTTACTCTTTTCTATGTTCACTTTCAACTTTCTACCTTTACACACACTCCCAAACTCGTCCACTAACCTTTGCAATTATAGGTAGTAGGTTGATAGACAGCAACCACCCAGGAAGGTACTACCGTCCTGCCAAGTGAGTGTGAAACGAAAGCCTGTAATTGTTTTACTTGATGGTAGGATTGCTGGTGTCTTTTGTCTGTCTCATAAATATGCAAGATTCCAGGTACGTCTTGCTACTTCTACTTACACTTAGGTCACACTACACATACATCTACATGTTTATTTATACACGCTCATCTGAGTTTTTTTTTTTTGTTTTATCTTAATAGTTCTTGGTCTTATTACTTTTCCTTTTATATCCATGGGGAAGTGGAATAAAAATCTTTCCTCTGTAAGCCATGCATGTTGTAAAAGTCAACTAAAATGCCGGGAACAATGGGCTAGTAACTCCTTTTTCTGTAAAAATTACTAAAAAGAATAAGAAGGAGAAAATTGTCAAAGTGGGAAGTCTGAATATGCGTGGATGTTGTGCAAATGATAAGAAAGAGATGATTGTGGATGTTATGAATGAGAGGAAGCTGGATGTCCTGGCTTTAAGTGAAACAAAGCTGAAGGGGGTGGGAGAGTTTCAGTGGATAGGAATAAATGTTATTAGGTCAGGGGTTTCAAATAGAGTTAGAGCTAAAGGAGTAGCAATAATGTTGAAGGATAAGTTATGGCAGGAAAAGAGGGACTAACTGTGTTAATTCAAGGATTATGTGGAGTAAAATAATTTTGGATGTGAAAAGTGGGTTATAGTAAGCATATATGCACTCAACAGGCTTATTCCCCTGTAATTTTTACACACTCTTTGGTCCCCCTTTGCCTTTATACAAAGAAACTATGCATTGTCTCTCCCAGTCCCTAGGTACCTTACTTTCTTCCATATATTTATTAAATAAAAGCACCAACCACTTCAAAACTGTATCCCCACCTGCTTTTAACATTTCTGTTTTTATCCCATCAGTCCCAGCTACTTTACCCTCCTTTCATTCTACCCATCTCCCCCACACTCACGACTGGCTCTTCCTCACTCCTACATGGTGTTATACCTCCTTGCCCCATACAAAATTTTGTATGAGGTTATTATTTGAACAAAAGGAAAATTCTCAGAGGATGCAGTCATCAGAGAGAAGTTGTAAGATATTCATCATCCAATCTGCTCTGTCTTGTGTACAGTATTGTATTAATGGTTTAAATTTTTGTTTTGGTTTTTAATTTTTTTTTTTTTTTTGTAGGCTATCTTCGACTTGGCTGTATGGCAAGGGATCGAGGCCAAATTTACGATGCATCTGATTGGTACAAGGAAGCACTTCGAATGAATAATGAGCATCCTGATGCATGGTCTTTGATGGGTAACCTTCATCTTGCCAAGAATGAATGGGGGCCAGGACAGAAGAAATTTGAAAGAATTTTGAAGGTTTTCACTTATTATTTTTTGTCTTTTTTATTGATTTCTTTCACTTAGGTAGTTCTGTGCATAAACACCAAGATATATATTCAGTGTACAATTGAATCTCATTCTCCCATGTCCTATTTAACTGAAATTTCACTGTCTTGAACTGAGCACTTAATAGTTGAATGCATAAAAAATTATATTAATTTTATCTGTTAGATGGATTACCTAGCTGGAACTCCAAATTCAGTCTGAATTAATGCGTGAAAAGGGTTGAATTTTATTAAAAATTGCCTAGGATAGACCGGTAGGCTTACTACAGTGCTCCTTTATTCTTTGTAAAGTAATACTGTGCAGGAATTAGAGTTTATAGATATCTTTCTTCTAGGTAGTAGGTTGGTAGACAGCAACAGCCCAGGGAGGTACTACCTTCATGCCAAGTGAGTGTAAAACAAAAGCCTGTAATTGTTTTACAAGATGGTAGGGTTACTGGTGTCTTTTTTTCTGTCTTATATACATGCAAGATTTCAGGTACCACATGCTACTTCTACTTACACATAGGTCAGACATGCATGTTTTTTTTTTTTTTTTTTTTTTTTTTTTTTTTTTTCAACAAGTCGGCCGTCTCCCACCGAGGCAGGGTGACCCAAAAAAAAAGAAAGAAAATCCCCAAAAAGAAAATACTTTCATCATCATTCAACACTTTCACCACACTCACACATTATCACTGCTTTTGCAGAGGTGCTCAGAATACAACAGTTTAGAAGCATATACGTATAGAGATACACAACATATCCCTCCAAACTGCCAATATCCCAAACCCCTCCTTTAAAGTGCAGGCATTGTACTTCCCATTTCCAGGACTCAAGTCCGACTATATGAAAATAACCGGTTTCCCTGAATCCCTTCACTAAATATTACCCTGCTCACACTCCAACAGATCGTCAGGTCCCAAGTACCATTCGTCTCCATTCACTCCTATCTAACACGCTCACGCACGCTTGCTGGAAGTCCAAACCCCTTACCCACAAAACCTCCTTTACCCCCTCTCTCCAACCCTTTCGAGGACGACCCCTACCCCGCCTTCCTTCCCCTATAGATTTATATGCTTTCCATGTCATTCTACTTTGATCCATTCTCTCTAAATGACCAAAGTGAAGAGAGTGGTGAGAGGGTGCAAAAGGAGAGCAGATGAAAGAGTGGGAGAGGCACTGTCAAGAAATTTTAATGAAAATAAGAAAAAATTTTGGAGTGAGTTAAACACATTAAGAATGCCTAGGGAAAGTATGGATTTGTCAGTTAAAAACAGAGTAGGGGAGTTAGTAGATGGGGAGAGGGAGGTATTGGGTAGATGGCGAGAATATTTTGAGGAACTTTTAAATGTTGAGGAAGAAAGGGAGGCGGTAATTTCATGCACTGGCCAGAGAGGTATACCATCTTTCAGGAGTGAAGAAGAGCAGAATGTAAGTGTGGTGGAGGTACGTGAGGCATTACGTAGAATGAAAGGGGGGTAAAGCAGCTGGAACTGATGGGATCATGACAGAAATTTTTAAAAGCAGGGGGGGATATAGTGTTGGAGTGGTTGGTACTTTTGTTTAATAAATGTATGAAAGAGGGGAAGGTACCTAGGGATTGGCAGAGAGCATGTATAGCCCTTTATATAAAGGGAAAGGGGACAAAAGAGATTTTTAAAAATTATAGGGGAAAATAAGTTTACTGAGTATATCAGGAAAAGTATAGGGTTTAAGGGTTAAAAATTGAAAGATTAGAGATAGATAGAATGTAGAATTGCGGATGAGCAAAGGAGGCTTCAGAGTGGGTAGGGGATGTGTAGATCAAGTGTTTACATTGAAGCAAAATTATGTGAACAGTATTTAGAATAAAGGTAGGGAAGTTTTTATTGAAATTATGGATTTAGAAAAGGCATATGATAAAGTGGATAAAAGGAGCAATGTGGCAGATGTTGCAAGTATATGGAATAGGTGGTAAGTTACTAAATGCTGTAAAGAGCTTTTATGAGGATAGTGAGGCTCAGGTTAGGGTGTGTAGAAGAGAGGGAGAATACTTCCCGGTAAAAGTAGGTCTTAGACAGGGATGTGTAATGTCACCATGGTTGTTTAATAATTCATAGATGGGGTTTTTAAAAGAAGTAAATGCTAGGTGTTGGGAGGGGGGTTTAAAGAGGGGGTAAAGGAGGTTTTGTGGGCAAGGGGCTGGACTTCCCGCAAGCGTGCATGAGCGGTTAGATAGGGGTGAATGGGACGAATGATACTTGGACCTGACGATCTGTTGGAGTGTGAGCAGGTAATATTTAGTGAAGGGTTCAGGGGGAAAAAGGTTATTTTCATATAGTCAGACTTGAGTCCTGGAAATGGGGAAATACAATGCCTGCACTTTAAAGGAGGGGTTTGGGATATTGGCAGTTTGGAGGGATATGTTGTGTATCTTTATACGTATATGCTTCTAAACTGTTGTATTCTGAGCACCTCTGCAAAAGCAGTGATAATGTGTGAGTGTGGTGAAAGTGTTGAATGATGATGAAAGTATTTTCTTTTTGGGGATTTTCTTTCTTTTTTGGGTCACCCTGCCTCGGTGGGAGACGACTGACTTGTTGAAAAAAAAAAAAAAAAATAATGAGTGTTAAGTGATCTGCATAATTATAATTAATTTTTTGAGTGGTAGGATCCCGTAGAGTTTTATTAAGTGTTCCAGCTGGGAATTCTGTTAAGGCACACCATCCTTGGCCCCAAAGAGTTTGTGATAATGGACTTCGACTGAATATATTTTATTTCTTAGTAATAAATATTCAGTTTATATGAAGTGTACATAAAAGATTTTATGAAATATGTCACTATTGTATGTTGCATAGTTGTGCTTTATTGTTTAATGAAATTATTTGTTGAACAATTATGTTAATAAACTTCATATTTTGGTATATTTATAAGTCTTCTGTTTTTAGTGTGTAGCTTAAGTAGGAGAATTTTAATATTTCTTTTAAGCGACATTGTGTTCATTTTTATTCTTATTTTGCAGAACCCAAGCACCACAACTGATTCCTATTCTTTGATTGCACTGGGTAATGTCTGGTTAACAACACTTCATCAGCCCAATCGTGACAAAGAGAAAGAGCGTAAACATCAAGATCGAGCTCTTGCTATGTACAAAACTGTCCTTCGAACAGATCCTAGAAGTATATGGGCTGCAAATGGCATTGGTAGGTGGACATATTTGGGATTTATAAAAAAAATTTGTTCTCTATTGAGATGGAGTGCACTAAAATAAAGCCATATCTGTTACAGACCATCTTCATTAAAAAGATAGATTTTTTTTGTTAAGCTAACTGATTTTACATGACCATAACCTTAATAACACAGTTATTCTTTTCCAATATGTATAATCCTTGCCATGATAGATGCTTGGTTACTCAACAATATCCCTAGTAAGAATGATGCACATGTAGATTATTATTCTGAAGTGCATAAGAGGAATGTGTTGCATTTTTCTTTGGTAGGAAATCAGAATATTTTTCTTTTGTTTACAAAATCTGAATTTTGAATGATCAGAAGTGAATAAGTACTTTTTTAAAGTTTTCTTATTGCACTGTTGGTATATATGGGTGTGGTAAGAAAAACCACTTGCAAATGAAATTTGTGGCCTTTGTGAGGAAAGAAAAGATTTTTTTTTTTTAAACACATTGGCCGTTTCCCACCAAGGCAGGGTGACCCAAAAACAAAGAAAAACCCAAAAAGAAACAAAAATTTCATCATCATTCAACACTTTCACCATCATTCATACATAATCACTGTCTTTCAGAGGCACTCAGATATGACAGCTTAGATGTCCCTCCAAATTGCCAATATCCCAAAACCCCTCCTTTAAAGTGTAGGAATTGCACTTTCCCTTTCCAAGACTGAAGTCCGGCTAACCAGTTTTCCTGAATCCCTTCACAAAATATTACCCTGCTCACACTCCAACAGCTCGTGAGGTCCCAAAAAATCATTCGTGTCCATTCACTCCTGTCTAACATGCTCATGCATGCTTTCTGGAAATCCTAGCCCCTTGCCTACAAAACCTCCTTTACCCCCTCCCTCCAACCTTTTTGAGGGCGACCCCTACCCTGCCTTCCTTTCCCGACAGAGTTATACTCTCTCCAAGTCATTCTACTTTGTTCCATTCTCTCTAAATGACCAAACCACCTCAACAGCCCCTTTGTAGCCTGCTGACTAATTCCACATATGCTCCTAAATTCCACATTATGAACTCTCTGCATAATATTTACACCACACATTGCCCTTAGACATGACATCTCCACTGTCTCCAGCCTCCTCCTCGCTGCGGGCATTTACAACCCATGCTTAAACACCCATATAAGAGTGTTGGTACCACTATACTCTTGTACATTTCCTTCTTGCCTCCATGGATAACGTTTTTTTGTCTACACAGATACCTCAATGCACCACTCGCCATTTTTCCTTCATCAATTTCTATTGCTAACCTCATCCTTCATAAACCCTTTATCTAAATCGTTTGATACCCTCATCACCTTACTCTTATCTATTTTCCCACTTTAAAACTTTCTACCTTTTCACACCCTCCCAAACTCGTCCACTAACCTTGCAACTTTTCTTTGAATCCCCCAAAGCATAGTATCATCAGCAAAAAGTAACTGTGTCAACTCCCATTTCATATTTGATTCCCCATAATTTAATCCCACCTCTCTCCTCAACACCCTAGCATTTACTTCTTGTACAGTCCTTCTTCTTCTTTCAACATACCAGCCGTATCCCACCGAGGTGGGGTGGCCCAAAAGAAAAAACTGAAGTTTCTCCTTTTAAATTTAGTAATATATACAGGAGAAGGGGTTACTAGCCCCTTGCTCCCGGCATTTTAGTCGCCTCTTACGACACGCATGGCTTACAGAGGAAGAATTCTGTTCCACTTCCCCATGGAGATAAGAGGAAATAAACAAGAACAAGAATTAGAAAGAAAATAGAAGAAAACCCAGAGGGGTGTGTATATATATGCTTGTACATGTATGTGTAGTGTGACCTAAGTGTAAGTAGAAGTAGCAAGACTTACCTGTAATCTTGCATATTTATGAGACAGACAAAAGACACCAGCAATCCTACCATCATGTAAAACAATTACAGGCTTTCGTTTTACACTCACTTGGCGAGACGGTAGTTGTACAGTCCTATCTATAAATATGTTAAACACCCATGGTGACATTATTCATCCCTGTCTGAAACCTACTTTTACTGAGAAGTAATCTTCCTCTCTCCTACACACCCTAATCTGAGCCCACTATCTTCATAAAAGCTCTTTACAGTATATAGTAACTTACTACCTATTCCATACACTTGCAACATCTGCCACATTACTCCCCTATCCACTGTATCATGTTCCTTTTCTGAATCCATAAATTCAATGAAAACTTGCATTTATGGATTTCCAGTAAGCGTGCATGGGCATGTTAGATAGCAGTGAATGGAGATGAATGTTTCTTGGGATCTGACGAATTGTTGAGTGTGATCAGGGTAATATTTTGTGAAGGGATTCAAGCAGTGGTGGGCACAGCTAACTGAAAAGTTAGCTTCGCTAACCGCTAATCTGCTAACTAAAATATTAGCTCCGCTAATGCTAAACCACTAAACAGCTGAAAAAATTAGCGGAAGCTAATGCTAAATGCTAACCGCTAACTTTTTCACATGAATTCTGATTCGGTTTAATTTTTTGATCTGTTGCTATTAAACGACATACCTATTAATGTCAAGTGCAAACTCCTACTGTATGCGGATGACAGTGCTCTGTTAGTGTCAGGTAAAGACCCAGAAGATATAACTAATGTAATAACACTGGAACTGGAGTCCTGCAGCAGATGCTAATAGACAGCAAACTATCGTTACACTTCGGGAAAATGGAAGCTATACTCTTTGGCACCAAGCATAAACTGAGAAGGGTAAATAATTTTAATGTCTGGTGTAATGAGGAACCCATCACTTCAGTTTCCTCAGTAAATATCTGAATCCCCTTTGACCCATGCATGTCAGGAGAATTGAAATAGGGAACAGCATTGTAAAGAAAGTGAATGTCAGACTGAAGTTCCTCTACAGACAGCACAGTGTCCTATCTACTGAGGCACAGTATCTACCTACTGATGGCTCACCAGGGCCCGATGTCTAGGCTTAACAATTCATATGGACTACACTTGCTCTTCACGTACTGCTGCCTTGACAAAAAAAACGAAAGCTAGACTAACAAATCACCCATAACAAAATGGTAAGATTCATCCTGGACCTGGTCCAAGAAAGTAATGTAAGCCTGTGTCCAAGAGAACATGTAGGCCTGGATCCAAGAGAACCTTGTAGGCCTGTGGCAAGAGAACATGTAGGCCTGGGTCCAAGAGAACATGTAGGCCTGGGTCCAAGAGAACATGTAGGCCAGGATGAATTACAACAACTGGATATGCTGAATGTTGAAGACAGTAAAGCAATTGAAGTTAAATCAAGTTTATAAAATTGCTCACAAACAGTGTCTCGAATATCTTGCTGCCCATTTTGTCAAGGCTGGGAACCAAACCAATCATTGTACTAGGGGGGGAGAACACACCTTTGTAGTACCCACAGTCAGTGGCCAGGCTTCCAACACCTTTTATTGCACAGCAGTAAAGGAATGGAACAGACTGCCTGCACATGTTAAAGCCAATCACAGTATGAGCCAGTTCAAGAAGAGAGCCAAAAGTTGCCCAATGAATGTAGTGATAGAAAGGGAAGAGAATTATTTTTTATTTTTTTAGCTAACACGTGTAAATGTAAATGACTCATTTTACCTTATTCTTAGTATATCTCCTTTATAGTATAATAATAAGATATTATACTTAACCCTTTCAGGGTCGAGAGGCCCTCTCCAAAACTCGTTCTCAGGGTCGAAAATTTTTCGGAAAAAAATTATTTTTTCTTATGAAATGATAGAGAATGTTTTCCCGATCATAATGACACCAAAAGTATGAAATTTGATGGAAAACTTAGGGAATTATGCTCTCGCGAAGTTAGTGGTCTCGACGATGTTTACGCATCGGCGATTTTGCCCACTTTGAGCCCTGTTTTCAGCCAATTCCTCTGTACTAGTTGACAAAAATCATATTTATTTCGCTAGAACTCCATTTTTTCTATCGAATGAGTGCAAGAAACCACCCACTTACCAATTTCAACTATCCAATAAAGTGGTTAGAAATTGACAATTTTGCCAGTTTCACACAAATTTCAGAAGATGCCAATTTCCAAATAGGGTCGAGAATAAACAAGACAGACATTCCTGGCAGTAAAATAACAATTTCTCTGTTCATTAGTCACGTTCCCAGGCCCCTCTTACATTTCTTTTGCTTTCCACTTTGAATTTTTATTCTCAAAAAATAGAAGATTTACTGTTATGCAGACTACTGCATTAGAGTAGAAATGGTATAAATAATATCAGTGCACTTGTGAAAGAATATTAGACTCACCAGTTGATGTGTATTGGATGCTTGGCATGATTTGTTTACTTTTGAACTTTGGTAAAAATCGAACATTTCTGCTACTTTGAGCTCAATTTCAAGGTATTTTTCATTGTGAAACCAGTCAAAATCATCTCAATTTCTGTAATATGTCTTCCATTCTATAAAATGAGACCAGGAAAACTAGAATACAACAATAAATACCATACGAAAATACAGTGCAAATTCGCTGTTTTAATCCAAAAACACGGTCAAAGTTTTTTTTTTCTCATTACACACTGTGTGCTGCAGGATTTTTTTTTTATACTGCGCACACTGACCACATAGACCCATTCTTTCATATGTAGGCCTACCAGCTTTCTCTCGTTAGATTTGAAGGCGCTAGAATTTAGGCGTTCTAGTATGTCAATAACCCTGGTGACTTACTTATACAAATACAGCGGTACCCCGAATTTCAGCCATAATTCATTCCAGAAGGCTGTTCGAGTGCCGTTACCAAATGAATTTGTTCCCATAAGGAATAACGTAAATTAAATTAGTCCTTTTCAGACCCCCAAAAATGCACTTACAAAAGCACTTACAAAAATACACTTACATAATTGTTCAAGTTGGAAGCTGTTCGAAATTCAAGGTAGCACTGTAATACAAAAAAAAAAAAGTGCGAAGAAAAATGAAATAGTTTACAGCGAAGTTCTGGTAGATTGTATTTGTTCGGTAGTGCTGAGCTTTGTTCAAGTAGGGAGCTGGTCAGATACTGAGGTTCCACTGTAACTGTATTTGTGTATACCTGAATAAACTTACTAGAATATAAGAGACAAGTACAAAATTTGGAAAAATAATATCAGATCACAATAAAACAAATGCAGCAAATGGCAGAATAATGACAACTTGCATAATGAGAACTTTCAAAATAGAAGATATATCTCCTAAAATGGTATTGTCTGATTGAGGGGGAGGGATATGGAGGACTATAACAATGCTGCTCAGATGAAGATGCTGCTGCTGCGTCAACAAGTCATGTTTACACTTAGTCATCCAATAGCGTGCTGAGTGACTGTTTGAGAAACACCCACAACAGACAGGAACAAACACATGCACCGTTGAAAAGGCATTGCTTTCCGACTACCAAAAATGTATGAATTTTTTTTTTTTAGTAGACTCAAAGTTAGCAGAACTTTATTTAGCTGAAGTCAATTGGTCCGCTAACGGTTTCCAAAGTTAGCGGAAACTTTAATCAGCTAAACAAAAAGTTAGTTCCACTAATTAGCGGTTAGCAGATTAGCAAAACTGTGCCCACCACTGGATTCAGGGAAACCAGTTAGCCAGACTTGAGTCCTGGAAATAGGAAGTACAATGCCTGCACTTTAAAGGAGGGGTTTGGGATATTGGCAGTTTGGAGGAATGTCTGAATGTGTCTGCAAAGACAGTGATTATTTATATATGAGTGATGGTGAAAGTGTTGAATGATGATGAAAGTTTTTTCTTTCTTTTTGGGTTTTTCTTTATGGGTCACCCTGCTTCAGTGGGAAACGGCCGACGTGTTTAAAAAAAAAAAAAAAAAATTTTTTTTTATCTGTACAGTGCATTTTGAAGTTTTGTTTATTGTGAGAAAATCAGAGATCTGATTTTTCAAAACTTTATTTTAGGTGCTGTTTTGGCTCATAAAGGATATATTAATGAAGCAAGAGATATATTTGCCCAGGTGAGGGAGGCAACAGCAGACTTCAGTGATGTGTGGATGAATATTGCACACATCTATGTAGAACAGAAGCAGTTCATTAATGCTATTCAGATGGTAAGAAGTAACAAAATTCATAATATATTTTTTTTATCCTTGAACACTTAGGGATCAAAATTGGTTACTGGGGGCAGGGCTTGCTATTGTCTTTATAGCCTTTGTTACACTGGTTAAGCTACTGGTAGAGGCTTTAGGGCTTAAATACACTGGTGGCTCATTAAAATATTAATCCATTGCAAAAGTAATGTATTTTGTTAGTCCTGTGGTTATATCAGCATTTCATGAAATGATCATACGGATGCCCTCAAACTATGCAGTCTCATGCCCAGTGCTAGGCATACCAGTTCCTTTGCTGCCATATAACTAAGAGTTTTTTATAGTAGTGCTGCATTGGAGATATATAATTCCTGGACACCTTGTGTGTGGGACAGCATCTCGTGTCCCCATTGCAAGGAACAACGTCCTGGTGTGCTTTGTTTTGTTTGAGAATGCCATGCATTCTCAAACAAATGCCATGCATTCTCATGCCCACATCGTTATTTTCCTCTTCACTCTCTCCCCCTTATCTTTGTCATACAGTCAGTCTCCCACTCTTGCTGTTTTAGTTTTTGACTGTTGTACATTCATTAGATGTTATATGATTCCTCCAGTCTTTTTTCTTTTTTTCACACCTCCAGTGAGCTACCTGCCAAACTGGAGATAAAATTTTCGAAACAAAATTAAACATGAAAGATTTCGGGTACATCTTGCTACTTTTAATTACACTTAGGTCACACTACACATACATGTACCTGTTTATGTATACACACTCATCTGAGTTTTATTTTATCTTAATAGTTCTTATTCTTATTATTTTCCTTTCATATCCATGGGAAAGTGGAATAAGAATCTTTCCTTCGTAAGCCATGCATGTTGTAAAAGTCAACTAAAATGCCGGGAACAATGGCTAGTAACCCCTTTTCCCATATAGCCTACTGAAAAGAAAAAGAAGACCACCGTCATAGTGGGATTTTTGAATGTGTGTGGATGTTGTGTGAATGATAAGAAAGAGATGATTGTGGATGTCGTGAATGAGAAGCTGGATGCTCTGGCTTTAAGTGAAACAAAGCTGAAGGGGGTGGGAGAGTTTCAGTGGCGAGAAATAAATAGGATTAGGTCAGGGGTTTCAAATAGAGCTAAAGAAGGAATAGCAATAATGTTGAAGGATAAGTTATGGCAGGAAAAGAGGGAATATAAATGTATAAATTCAAGGATTATGTGGTGTAAAATAAGGGTTGGATGTGAAAAGTGGGTTATAGTATGGGTTTGTGCACCTGGAGAAGAGAGAAGTGTAGACAGAGAGAGATTTTGGGAAATGTTGAGTGAGTGCGTGGGGAGTTTTGAACCAAGTAAGAGAGTACCTGTGGTGGCGATCTCAATGCTAAAGTGGATAAAAATGTTGTGGAGGGAGTAGTAGGTAAATTTAGGGTGGTAGAGGTAAATGAAAATGGGGAGCCTTTAATTGAGCTATGTGTAGAAAGAGGTTTGGTAATAAGTAATAAATATTTTATGAAAAAGAGGATAAATAAGTATACAAGGCATGATATATCACGTAATGAAAGTAACTACCATCCTGCCAAGTGAGTATAAAACGAAAGCCTGTAATTGTTTTACATGATGGTAGGATTGCTGGTGTCCTTTTTTCTGTCTCATAAACATGCAAGATTTCAGGTATGTCTTGCTACTTCTACTTACACTTAGGTCACACTACACATACATGTACAAGCGTATATATACACACATACCCCTCTGGGTTTTCTGCTATTTTCTTTCTAGTTCTTGTTTATTTCCTCTAATCTCCATGAGGAAGTGGAACAGAATTCTTCCTCCGTAAGCCATGCGTGTTATAAGAGGCGACTAAAATGCCGGGAGCAAGGGGCTAGTAACCTCTTCTCCTGTATATATTACTAAATGTAAAAGGAGAAACTTACGTTTTTCCTTTTGGGCCACCCTGCCTCGGTGGGATACGGCTGGTATGTTGAAAGAAAGAATATATATATGTATATAATTTTTTTTTTTTTTTTCAACAAGTCGGTCGTCTCCCACCGAGGCAGGGTGACCCAAAAAAAAGAAAGAAAATCCCCAAAAAGAAAATACTTTCATCATCATTCAACACTTTCACCACACTCACACATTATCACTGCTTTTGCAGAGGTGCTCAGAATATAACAGTTTAGAAGCATATACGTATAGAGATACACAACATATCCCTCCAAACTGCCAATATCCCAAACCCCTCCTTAAAGTGCAGGCATTGTACTTCCCATTTCCAGGACTCAAGTCCGACTATATGAAAATAACCGGTTTCCCTGAATCCCTTCACTAAATATTACCCTGCTCACACTCCAACAGATCGTCAGGTCCCAAGTATCATTCGTCTCCATTCACTCCTATCTAACACGCTCGTGCACGCTTGCTGGAAGTCCAAGCCCTCACCCACAAAACCTCCTTTACCCCCTCTTTCCAACCCTTTCGAGGACGACCCCTACCCCTCTTTCCTTCCCCTATAGATTTATATGCTTTCCATGTCATTCTACTTTGATCCATTCTCTCTAAATGACCAAACCACCTCAACAACCCCTCTTCTGCCCTCTGACTAATGCTTTTATTAACTCCACACCTTCTCCTAATTTCCACACTCCGAATTTTCTGCATAATATTTACACCACACATTGCCCCTTAGACAGGACATCTCCACTGCCTCCAACCGTCTCCTCGCTTCTGCATTTACCACTCAAGCTTCACATCCATATAAGAGTGTTGGTAAAAAACTATACTTTCATACATTCCCCCCCCCTTTGCCCCCTTTAGATAACTTTTTTTTGACTCCACATATCCCTCAGCGCCCCCACTCCCCTTTTTTTTCCCTAATCAATTCATGATTAACCTAACCTTTTCCCATAAACCCATCCCCCCGACACTCAATTTTCCCAAGTATCTAAAAACATTCACTTCTTCCAAAATTTCCTCCCCCCCAAAATTTAAATACCCAAAATTTTTTCTTTATCTAAATCATTTGATACCCTCCACCTTACTTTTTTCTATTTTCACTTTCAATTTTTCTTTTTTTACTCCTTTCTCAAACCCATCCACTAACCTTTAATTTTTTTTTAGAATCTCTCATAAGAAACAGTATCATAAGAAAAAAGTAACTTTTTCCCCAATTCCCATTTTGAATTTGTTTCCCCCATACTTTAAATTTCCCCACCCTGTCCCGAACACCCTACATTTATTTTCTTTTACAACCCCATCTATGAAATATTTTAAAACAACCAGGGTACATTACCACCCCCTGTCAAAAGACCATTTTTAAACCGGGGAAGTTTTCCCCTCTCTTCACATACCCATCCTGACCTTTCACTACCCATAAAAGCCCCTTTTACAGCATTTAGAAATTTTACCCAATTCCATATACTTGCAACATTTTGCCCTTTTACCCCTATCCCCCTTTTATCATATCCTTTTTTCTAAACCCCAAAAAATGAAAAAAAAAACTTCCCAAACCTTTATCTAAATACTTTTTTCACAAATGGCTTCAAAAAAAACACTTGATCTACACACCCCTCCCCACTCGAACCCTCCCTGCTCACCCGCAATCCTACATTCTGTCTTCTAATTCTTTAAATTTATAACCCTACTGTATATTTTTTCCTGGTAAAACTAAATTAAACTTACTCCTCAAAAAAATTTTTACAATCTCTTTTGCCCCCTTTTTCCCTTTATATAAAGGGACAATAATGCCCCCCCGCCCAACCCCCTAGGAACCTTTCCCCCTTCTTTCAACTTTTTATTAAACAAAAGTAAAAACCCAAATCCCCCCACTATATCCCCCCCTTTTTTAACTTTTTCCTTCATGATCCCACCCTTTCCAGCTGCTTTACCCCCTTTTCATTCAAAACAAAAGCCTCAGGTCCCCCACCACACTTACATTCTCTCTTCCTTCACCCTAAAAGATGGTATACCTCCCCCCCTGCATAAAATTTAAACGGCCCCTCCCTTTCTTCCTCAAAATTTAAAATTTTCCTCAAAATATTCCCCGCCACCCTTACCAAATTTTACCTCCTTCCCCCATCTACTAACCCCCCCTACTCTGTTTTTAACTGACAAATCCATATTTTCCCAAGGCTTCTTAACTTTTTAACCCAAAAATTTTTTTCTTTTTTTTCATTAAAATTTCTGAAAATCCCCCTCTCCCACTTTTTTCATCTGCTCTCCTTTTGCATCTTTTCACCACTCTTTACACTTTCCCTTTTACTCTCCAATACTCGTTCTTTTTATAATCATTTCCTGCTTTGAAAAAAAACCTCTCGAAGCTCCCTTTTTCTCCTTAATCACCCCCTTTTAATTTTCATCATTCCACCAATCAACCCTTTCCTCCTGAAACCCACCCTCCTAAACCACAAACTTCTCCCCCACATTCTAATACTGCTTTTTAAAAAAACTATTCCAAAAACCCCTCTTAAAACCCCCCCCACTACTCATTTTTGCACTAGCCCCCCTTTTCCCGGGCCAAATAGTCGCTTACATCTCGCCCGAACTTCCTCCTCCCCTTATTTTAAATTACACTTTAAAACCTCCCTCTTATTTTGTTGTTGCCACCTCGTTTTTTCCCATCTACCTCTTTCCCCCAAAAACTGAAATACAATTTAAATAATAAACCATATATCATTGCCCCCTTAAAACATTTACATCCTGGAGCCTACCCTTCAACCTTTTATCCACCAATACAAAATCTAACAAATTTCTTTCATTACGTGCAAACATCAAAACCTTGTATATTTATTTATCCCTTTTTCAAAAAATTGTATTCTTTTTCCCAAAATTTTTCTTTCTACACATACCCAAATTTAAAGGCTCCCCTTTAAACCTTTAAACCCCTTTGAAACCCCAAATTTCCCTTCAAACTCCCCCATAACATTTTCCCCCCTTTTAAAGAAATTTGAAACCCCCAACCCCTTTTCCCCTTTTCACACTTGATTAAAAACTCCCCACGCATTAAATAAATTTTTCCCAAATCCCCTCTCTCTCTCCTCTACACTTCTCTCTTCTCCGGGTGCATAAAACCTTTTTAATAACCCACTTTTAAACACCAATCTTTATTTTACTCCACATAATCCTTGAATTTTTTACTTTTGGTAGCCCCCTCTTTTCCTGCCATAGCTTATCCTTCAACATTTTTTTGCTACCCCTAATTAAGCTTAACTCTATATATTTTTTTAAATTTTTTAAATTACACCCCGGGGCCGTTTCCCACCAAGGCAGGGTGGCCCAAAAAAAGAAAAACTTCACCCATCATTCACTTCCATCACTGCCCTTGCCAAAAGGTGCTTTACCCAAACATTTTTTAAACGAAAAAAAAATTAATTAAAAACCCCCCTTCAGAGTGCGGGCACTGTACTCCCATCTCCAGGACTCAAGCCCGGGCCCTGCCGGTTTCCCAAAAACCCCTTTCCCTTAAAATTTTTTCTTTGCCCCACACTCCAACAGCACGCAAGTATTAAAAACCATTTGCCCCTTTTCACCCTATCAAAAAAACCTCCCCGAAAACCCCTGCTGGAACCCAAAAGCCCCCGCCCACAAAACCCCCTTTTAAAACCCCCTCCCCCCAACCCTTCCAAAGGCCCGCCCCAAACCCCGCCTTCCTTCCACTACAAAACGATCCCAACTCTTGAAGTCATTCTGTTTCGCCCATTCTCTCTACATGTCCAAAACCCCCCTCAACAACCCTTCCTCGGGCCCCCTGGACAAAAATTTTGGTAACCCCCCGCACCTCCCCCCAAAAACCTTCCAAACTACGAATTCTCTGCTTAAAATTCACACCACAAAATTTGCCCCCCAACATGACATTTTCCACTGCCTCCAGCCTTTTCCCTCGCGGGAAAAACTTTCCCATCACCCACCTTCACCCCCAAATTTTGACGTGGTAAAACTATACTCTCATACTTTCCCCCTCTTTGCCCCCCAAAGGAAAACAAATTTTCTTTGTTTTCCACAGACCCTAATGCACCACTCACTCTTTTTCCCTCATAAAATTCTAGGATTCACCTCATCTTTCATAGCCCCCACCCGTTTACACGTCCACTCCCCAAAAATCTGAATAAATTTTAAAAACCTCCAAACCCTCCCTCCCCAAACTGATATTCAATCTTTTTTATCACCTAATCCCTTTTTGTTTTCCTCATAAACCCTTTCCCTTTCCCCGTATTCACCTTTTAAATTTTTTTCTTTTGCACACCCCTACCCAAAATTTATCCACCAATCCTCAACTTTTTCTTCGAATCTCCCAAGGCACTTTTCATCAGCAAAGGCGCTGTTTACAACCCCCCACTTTGTTGGGGATTCTTTTTCTTTTAACTCCAGGGCCCTTGCCAAAAACCCTCGCATTTACTTCTCTTTTCAAACCCCCTCTATAAAAATATTAAACAACCACGGTACATCACACAATTTCCTTTTTCTAAGGGGGCCAAATTTTTTTTTGGGGGAAAAATTTTCCCCCTTTCCTACATCCCCTTAAATTTGGGGCCCCATATCCCCTTAAAAAAATCTTTTACTTTCTTTTCAGTAACCACCTCCACCAAACCCTACACTTTCAACATCCTGCCACATTTCCCCCCTATCCCCCCCTGTCATAAACCCCCTTTTCCAATCCCTAAATGCCACAAAGCCCTTTTAGCCTTTTCTAAAAAACTGTTTACTTATATGGGTTTTACTGTAAAAACCTGGCCACACACCCCCTACCTTTTTCCCAAAACCTCCTTGGTTTATCTGCTATCCTTTTTTTCCCCCCCGTCTTACTCTTAATTCTTTTAATTATAACTCTTAAACCCAAAAAACTTTACCAGGTTTAAAAAAAAAAAACTTATTTCCCCCATAATTTTTGCATCACCCCTCTTTTTTCCCCTTTGGGCCTTTAAAACAAAAAACTATGCATGCTCTCTGCCCAATTCCCCAGGTACCTTACCCTCTTCCATACATTTATTAAATAATTTCACCAACCACCCAAAACTATATCCCCCCCCCTGCTTTTAAAAATTTCTAACCCTTTTTCCCTTTAATTTCCCCGGGTGGCCTTTCCCCCCTTTTATTTTTCCTACTCCTCACAAAATTCCCCCCAAAATTCACCAAATGCTCTTCCTCATCCTAAAAAGGAAAGTTTTTCCTCCTTGCCCCAAAACAAAGAAAACACCCCTTCCCTAAACTTATCAAAAATTTAAAAATTCCTCAAAATATTCCTTCCCCTTCCCCAAAACCCTAACTTCCATTTTAAAAACTCCCCTCCTATTTTTTAACTGACAAATCCCTTTGTTCTCTAGGCTTTCTTAACTTGTTTAAACTTCCACTCCAAAACTTTTTCTTTTTTTTCAACAAAATTTTTTTGATAAAAATCTCACCCACCCTCATTTGGGTCTCTTTTTTTCAGGGTTCACCACTCCTTAAACCCTTTTCCCTTTTTTTCCATATACTCTTCCCCCCTTTCACACTTTTACTTTTTAAAAACCCTTTTCATAAGCTAAAATTTTTTCCTTTCCCTTTCTACTCTCTTTACATCTTTATTCCCCCCCAATCGCTCCTCTTTCCCTCCTGCACCCACTTTTCCCGGAACCCCCCAAAATTCCCGCTGGGGAAAAAGGGATAAATAGAAAAGCTTAGTGAAATCTGTAAAAATAATTAAACAATTTGAGACATTTTTGCAACATATGGGAATCTTTTTTGAGGAAAAGGGGTTTCCCTACACAAGGGCTTCATCAGTCTAATACAAAGTAGAAAGGTGTAAGGAGTTTGAGGGAATCATCCCCCAGCCTGGAGCGATGTGTTTTAGTTTAAACCAAAAAATCACATAAATTTAAAAATGTTAAATTGTATGAGATAGATATTAAAAACACTGCATTTAAATTGCATTTAAGGCGGGGAATTTAAAAAGATATGAAAAGTTTAAAAGACAGTTTTAAAAAATTTTAATTTTTTGAAAAAAGAAAATTTTGAGTCAAAGAAAGACACTTCTTATTTTATATGATATTTTTTTCATAGCTGGGCAAAGATGTACTAATTATTGGTTTTATGTTAGGGAAATTTTTGGTTTTGGGGTTTGCAATTTGTTTCAGGGAAATGATAGTCTTGACTTTTTTTCTTTTTATAAAAAAAACTGTCAAAAAAAAAAATTTTTCAAAAACCCCCAAAAGTTTTAAGTTCTTGGGGAAACCTTTCACGGGCATACTTCAAAGCTGCTAAATTGAAAAAAAAAAACAAAATATACTTTTCCCTTTAAAGGAAAATGTGAAAGTAGGTTTTTTTTAAGAGCTGCCATTACTTTGGAGATTAACCTCTTGCTTCCCAGAGCTTTGCTGGATGCACCACCCTCATACTCTCAAATATAATTAAATATTTATATTTTAGGGGGTATAAAAGAAGTGAATACTTTCAGATATTTGGGAGCAGACTTGTTAGTGGATGGGTTTATAAAGGATGAGGTAAACCATAAAATTGATGAAGGAAAAAACGTGGGTGATGCATTGAGGTATTTGTGGAGACAAAGAACATTATCTATAGAGGCAAAGAAGGGAATGTATGAGAGTAAAGTGGTATCAACACTCGTATATGGGTGTGAAGTATGGGTTGTGAATGTTGCAGCGAGGAAGAGGCTGGAGGCAGTGGAGATGATGTGTCTAAGGGCAATGTGTGGCCCTTGGCTAAAGCTCTCGCTTCACATGGCGAGGGTTTGCGTTTGATTCCCAGCTTGGGTAGAAACATTGGCCATGTCCCTTTACACCGGTTGTTTATGTTCACCCATCAGTAAAATGGGTACTTGGGAGTTAGTCGACTAGTGTGGGTCGCATCCGGGGACAATGACCTAATTTGCCTGAAATGCTCTACATGACAAGGGGCTTTCCATATAGTAGTATGTCATTGATGTCAGCTAGGCCTGTATACCATGTACATGTACTTGTAGTAAATAAAGATATTAATTATATTATTAAGAGAATTCATAGTGTGGAAATTAAGAGGATATGTGGAGTTACTATATGTATTATTCAGAGGGCTGAGGAGGAGTTGTTGAGGTGGTTTGGTTATTTAGAGAAGATGGAGCAAAATAGGATGACTTGGAGGGTGTATAAATCTGTAGTGGGGGGAGGAGGGATAGGGGTCATCCTAGGAAAGGATGGAGGGATGGGGTAAGAAGATTTTGTGTGCAAGGGGCTTGACATGCAGCTTGCATGTGAGTGTATTAGATAGGAGTGAGGAGAGGAATGTTTTTTTGGGACCTGCCGAGCTGTTGTAGTGTGAGCAGGGTAATATTTTGTGAAGGGATTCAGTGGAACTGGTTAGCCGGACTTGAGTTCTGGAGGTGGGAAGTACAATGCTTGCACTTCGAAGGAGGGATTTGGGATATTTACTGTTTGGAGTAACATCTAAACTGTCGTATCTGAATGCTTCTGCAGACAGTGATTACGTGTGAATGAGGGTGAAAGTTTTTTTTGGTGTGTGTGGGGGGGGGGGGTCACCCCTGCCTCAGTGGGAGATGGCCGATGTGTTAAAAAAAAAAAAGTCAAGTTTGAGAGCCAAATTCTTTGTATGTGGATGATGCCAAAATAATGAGGAGAATGTAAACTGATGAGAAAAGTCAGAAAATGAGTACCATCTTAGTTGGGGGTGGGGGAACTCAGAATCAGTTACAGAAAAAGATGATGGAATGATTACTCCAAACAGGTCCTATGAAACACACACAACACTGTAACATCATCATCACACAGCACAAGCTAAACATGCAAATATGAGAGTGGCATTGAAGAACCTAGATACAGAGACCCTTTTAGAAATTTTTTTTTTTCTATTATTGGTATAACCATTATTGAGTATGTAGTGCTGGTGTAAAAGCATTGCTTGGTGAATGAAGAGGATTGCATCAAAACTGGTACTTAAATTGAAGGTAATGAGCTACAAGAAAATAATGTAAGAACTAAGTTTTATGATATTGATAGAGCGAAGAATAAGAGGGAATGGGATTATGGCATATAAAATACTAGTGATGATAGCCAGGGTAGACAAGGATAGGCCCTTTACCAGGTATGCCATAGAAACATGGGGAAATTGTTGAAATTAAACTTGTAAACAAGTTACTAGGATATCTGGTAGCATTTCTTAACCCTTTCAGGGTCCAGAGGCAAAATTTCCAAGTGCACAATAGTGTCCAAGAATTTTCAAAAAATAATTTTGTTATTTTTTCTTATGAAATGGTAGAGAATCTTTTTCGGAAGGTAATAAAATAAAAAGTATGAAATTTGATGGAAAAGTGACGAAATTATGCTCTTGCGAATTTTGATGTGTCAGCGATATTTACGCATTGGTGATTTTGCCGAAATTGACTCCCATTTTAGGCCAATTACCTTATTCCAGTCGACCAAAGTTCTTAGCTTTTTCACCAGTATTACTTCTATTCTATCGATTAAGCACAAGAAATCGCCAACTCAACTGTTTCAACTACAAAATAAAGTGATTGGAAATTGGTAATTTGCCAATTTAGTGCAAAGTTCAAAATATTCCAGTTTCAAAATAGGGTCCAGAATAAACAATGCAGGCATTCCTGGCACTAAACTTACATTTCCTCTGTTCATTAGTTATGTTTTCAGGCTTTACAAATTAATTCCATTTTGATTTTTAATTCACATAATGAATTTTTATTCAAACCAAAACATTGAAAATTTACTGTCATGCAATATTGTAATAATTGTATAAATAACATCAGCACATTTGTGAACGTATATTAGACCCACCAGCTGGCGTGTATTAGACATGTGAGGTCATTTGTTTACTCTTGAACATTGGCAAAAATTTAACATTTCTGTTACTTAGAGCTCAGTTTCAAGCCATTTTTAGTACTAAAACCAATCAAAATCATCTCTATTTCTGTAATATATATTCCATTCTATCAAATGAGACCAAGAAATAGCAAATACAACTATAAAGAACATACAAAAAAACACTGCAAAGTTGCTGTTTTAATCTAAAATTACGGTCTCAGTTTTTTCTCTCATTATGCACTGTGGGCTGCAGGATTTGTTTTTTGTGGTGCACACATACCACATAGATGTATTCTCTCATATCTAGGCCCAAATTTACTGCTTACAGCTTATCAGAATGAGCTGAGCTCATGGCGTAGATCTACGGTTTGGACCCTCAACGCAAAGCCGTAGATCTACGGCACGGACCCTGAAAGGGTTAATCACATTTCTGGCATGACAATGATTGAATGATAGTGAAAGTATTTCTCTTTTTTTTTTGGTGTTACCTTTCCTCGGTTGGGGATGGCTGGTGTGCTAAACAAAAAAAAAAAAAAGAGTAGAGGTGTTATAAGATGAACAATAATACAGTAAAGCAAGCTCCATACAGATTTAAAAGTAGGTGTGACATTTGGCCAGAAGTTAAGAAATAGGATAAAGAGCTGGAGCTCAGTCCTCTCAAACTTAGTTAATTACAAATATAGTGGACCCCCGAGTTTCGTGAGCCTCATGCTTTGTGAATTTTGACTTTTGGCAACTTTTTTCATCAAAATAAAGCCTCGCGCTTCATGATTTGTGTCATGATTCATCCGTCGTACGGAATGCATACATGCGGCCGGGCGTACACAAAGGAGTCAGTGTAGCATTCTTTGTGGGTGAGTGACCCTCACCCCATGCGTTCATACGATACATTTCATAATAATCCATTTTTTTGCTTTTGAAACTGCTAAATAAGCCACCCTGGGCCCAAAGAAAGCTTCTAGTGCCAGCCCTTTGATAAAGAAGGTGAGAAACACGATAGAATTAAAAAAAAGGTTTGTAGAAAAATACGAAAGTGGTGGTGGTAGAGGGTCGTAGTGATGGTGGTAGAGGGTGGTAGTGGTTGTGGTGGTGGTAGAAGGTGGTAGTGGTTGTGATGGTGGTAGAGAGTGGTAGTGATGGTGCTAGAGGGTGGTAGTGGTTGTGATGGTGGTAGAGGGTGATAGCAGTTGTGAGGGTGGTAGAGGGTGGTAGTGATGGTGGTAGAGGGTGGTAGTGATGGTGGTAGAGGGTGGTAGTGATGGTGGTAGAGGGTGGTAGTGATGGTGGTGGAGTGTGGTAGTGGTTGTGATGGTGGTAGAGGGTGGTAGTGATTATGATGGTGGTAGGGGGTGGTAGCGGTTGTGATGGTGGTAGAAGGTCGTAGTGATTGTGGTAGAGGGTAGAGCTGCAAGAGCTCTTTATGGAATGAGATTCCCCTTCCAAACAATAGTGTAACTTCTCCATCTTCTCCCCTCCTCCTGTCTTCCATACACCAACAACAGTCTTCAATAAAGGTAAGCGTGATGTTGTTATTGTTTTATTCTTGATTTATCATTCTTTTCTGTATGTAAATCTATATTTAAACTATAAAAAAATAATTGTTGTTTATAATTTTGGGTGTTTGGAACGGATTAATTGGATTTACATTATTTCTTATGGGGAAAATGGTTTCGACATTCATGAATTCTGACTTTTGGCAGACTCTCTGAAACAGATTAATCATGAAACTCGGGGGACCACTGTATGTAAGAATTGAAGCTAAGGGCTTCTTTTTTATTTGCAGTTTTAACTAACAGTGTCTGTGTTCTCTATGATTTATTTTAATTACTGTATTTCAGTTGCTTTCACACTTGAAATTGTGACAAAGTAAATTTGGAAAATATTAGTTTTTATGTAAACTGAAGTGTTGTGCATGCAGTACATTTAAGCAAAGGCATATCAAGAATGAACCAAATGTTTTAGAATTGCACTTTGCGTTTACTTATCAATTTAATGTAGGAGCATTCAAGCTTTAATACATTGGAATTTGACTTTTCTCTACCACAAATACATTGCAGGCTCGTCATGTTGCACCTCATGATACAGTGATCCTCTATAACTTGGCATTAGTGTTGCAGCGTTTAGCCATGCAGGTACTCAGGGATGAAAAATCTGTTCTTAAGACTGTGTTGGCAGCTGTGCACGAGCTGACATTGGCCCAGAAGTGAGTAACCATAACTGTCTTCTTGTAAAGCATTAGGATAAGACCCTATATTTATAGATTCTGTATATATAATGTTCTATTTACTACAGTTGTCATACCATGAAGAAGAGTACTAGAATCTCTGCTGATACAGTTTGTTTCTGCTGAAACGTTACCCATGGAGGCAAAGAAGGGAATGTACGAGAGTATAGTGGCAACAACAGTTATATGGGTGTGAAGTATGGGTTGTAAATGCAGTGGAGATGTTGTGTCTAAGGGCAGTGGTGTAAATATTATGCAGAGAGTTTGTAGTGTGGAATTTAGGAGGAGGTGTGGAGGGGCTGTTGAGGTGGTTTGGTCATTTAGAGAGAATGGAACAAAGTAGAATGACTTGGAAAGAGTATAAATCTGTAGAGGAAGGAAGGTGGGGTAGGGGTCGTCCTTGAAAAGGTTGGAGGGAGGGGGTAAAGGAGGTTTTGTGGGAGAGTGGCTTGGACTTCCAGAAAGTGTGTGTGAGCATGTTAGAAAGGAGTGATTGGAGATGAATGGTTTTTGGGACCTGACAAGCTGTTGGGGTGTGGTATGAGGATATGACCAGAGATTTGGTAAGGTGGGTAATGATGGAAATACGGGATAGGGTTGGGGGGTGGAGGCAGAGGTGGGGTTATAAAGGTAAGTGGCCTAACCACTTTGGCATGATTGTTGGAGTGTAAGCAGGGTAATATTTTGTGAAGGGATTCAGGGAAACCGGTTAGCCGGAATTGAGTCCTGGAAATGGGAAGTACAGTGGAACCTCATCTTACAAACTTAATCCGTTCCATGACCTTGTTCTTATCCTGATTTGTTCATATGCTGAGTCAGTTTTCCTCATTTAAATTAATTAAAAAGCCATTAATCTGTTCCGACTCTCAGGAGGCACGACAAAATACAATATTTCGCTAATATCAGTCTACAGCTTATTCATCTATCACAATTCATCTGATATGCATAAACAATATTAATAACATAGAAATATGATATATACTCTAAAATGAATAAATTAGGCCATTACATGGCGAGTGATGGCGACGGCAGCGGCAGCAGCATCCGCTGTTTACTCTCCCACTGACTATAGTATCTTCCCATGTTCTTATTATAAGAGAAAGCAATGTGTGAAGGCTAACTGCATTAGATCACTACGTAATTTCATAAGGAAAACATAATGTAAAGAAATAAATTGGTGTATGTAGTACTGCAGCATGTACCTTGGAGAAGAGATCCTTACGGAGGTTGATAGTGGAGAAGAGATGCTTGCGGAGGTTTATGGTGAAGAGATACTATCGCTTAATCGCTTGACATAATTGCTAAACTCTTAATGCTACACTTAGTTAAGAACATAAGACCATAGGAAAGGAGGAACACTGCAGCAGGCCTGTTGGCCCATACTAGGCAGGTCCTTCACAGATCCATCCCACTAATAGAATATTTGCCCTCATAAGAACATAAGAAATAAGGAACACTGCAACAGGCCTACTGGTCTATGCGAGGCAGCTCCAATTCTCCCCACCAGCTTAAGCCAATGCCTTGACCTAGTGAGGTCAGACATGTCACTTAAGGGAGGAGCACTGCGTCCGACCTAGTAGCTAGTCAAGTCCATTTCACAGACACCCACACCCACTCATAAGAACATAAGAAAGAAGGAACACTGCAACAGGCCTACTGACCCATGAAAAGCAGGTCCATGTTCCCCCCCCTACCCCGGATTAGCCCAATGACCCACCTAGTCAGGTTACTTCAACTTAAGGAAGGAGTATGGCATCAGACCTAGTAGCACAAGCTAGTCAGGTCCAACTCACACCCACCCAAACCCACTCATGTATTTATCTAACCTATTTTAAAACTACACAACGTTTTAGCCTCTATAACTGTACTGGGGAGTTTGTTCCACTCATCCACAACTCTATTACCAAACCAGTGCTTTCCTATATCCTTCCTGACCCTGAATTTTTCCAACTTGAAACGATTGCTGCAGGTCCCGTCTTGGCCGGAAATTTTCAGCACGCTATTTACATCCCCTTTATTTATTCCTGTTTTCCATTTATACACCTCGATCATATCCCCCCTAATTCTACGCCTTTCGAGAGAGTGCAGATTCAGGGCCCTCAGTCTATCCTCATAGAGAAGATTTCTGATACATGGGATCAACTTTGTCATCCTCCTTAACCCTTTGACTGTCGCGGTCGTATATGTACGTCATGGGAGATACCGTGTTTGACGTATCTATACGCATAAATTCTAGCGGCTTCAAATCGAGTGGGAGAGGGCTGGTAGGCCTACACGAGAGAGAATGGGTCTCAGTGGTCGGTGTGCACCCTGTGAAAAAAATCTGGGACTCAGCGGTGCATTGTGGGAACGCCATCTTGGTAGTCCATTTTCACCATGCCTCGCGGTAAGAAGTTCCTCACTCCTCGGCGGATTGGAGGTCTTTTGTTCCCAAGTGATAGCTCAAACAGTGATGATAGTGTCAGTGAAAGTGAATTCCATGGTTTTGAAGCGGGTATGACCGAGAAAATTACCCAGGATAACATAATTAGTGATGAAAACCCAGATGACCCACAACCATCCCCCTCTGGTGCTAGGCCGGCTCGTTCATATTCACCTGTACCAGGACGAAAGAGGAAACTATTTGCCCGTGTACAAGACTCAGATGTGAGCAGTGCAAGTGAAGTGATAGTGATTTCAAGGTTATTGAAAGCACTTCTAGTTGTGACAGTGAGGGTGAATATTCCCCAGTGAAACGGCAGTATGTACGACGTCGCATGCGGTCTGGTAGTGTGCCATATGCTCTTCCAAGAGGAAGGAGTACATCTCGGAGCACATCCCGTGGCCCACACCACGTCCTGATAGTGAAGATGACGATATTGTTACGATGGGTATAAATGATGTGAGTGAGGCAGCAGGCGGTGGTGGTGATAGTGACGGTGCCATGAGTCATGTGACACCAGCAGCGGGCCACGCTAGTGCCCGCGCTGCTGACTCTGCACAACTACAACCTGCTTCGGCCGACCCCACACTCTCACAACCACAACCACAACCTGCACAACCACAACGACATTACAATATCCAGAACGCACCAGCTGACCGCATCTGGGATTGGCATCAAGATGACGAGTTTGTACCCAATCCCCATGACTTGGATGAAGGACAAAGTGGAATACGGCCATCATGTACACTTGGGAACAATCCCACTGAACTGGAATGCTTTCAGTTGTTCTTCGATGAACCCCTGATGGACATTATTGTCAGGGAAAGAAAATACATACTATGAGTACACCATGGCAAACACTATGCTTTCACCAAGATCACGCCTACACCAGTGGAAGGACACAACTGTGGCAGAGATGTATCTTTTTCTTTGCACAATAATGCTTATGCCACATGTGTATAAGCATAGTGTCAGCACATACTGGGCGACAGACCGCCTGATTTCAACCCCTGCTTTCAGTGACATTATACCAGTGAATAGATTTGTGTTACTGTTACGTATGTTACACTTTTCAGACAAAACAGGCCTGACAGAAGCGACAGGTTATATAAGATCAGACGTGTGTTATGTACCTGAAACAAAAGTGCTGTATGTATTTTTATCCCTTCAGGAAGCTTGTTATTGACGAGTCTTTGATTTTGTTCAAAGGAAGACTCTCATTCAAGCAGTATATACCAAGCAAGAGGAAACGCTTTGGTATAAAGTTATTTGTTCTGTGTGATTGCAAAACTGGTCTGGTTTTGGATATAATTGTGTACACTGGCGGTAAAACAATGGAAGATACCAGGAAGTTACTGGGTATCTCTGGTGATGTGGTTAGAACAATGATGGAGCCATATCTTGGTAAGGGGCATATTTTATATACTGACAACTGGTACACAAGCCCTATACTCCAGTGATTTCTTGCGAGTGAACATGACAGATGTGTGTGGCACAGTGCGTAGAAGTCGTAAACATATGCCTAGGTTCGAAGCTGGCAGTCGTAGAGGTGAAGTGCAGGTGTTTGCTGCCAATGACATCATGGCATTTCGGTGGCATGACAAACGTGATGTCACCAGCTGACATCAGTTCACCGACACGAAATGGTAGAGACTGGCAAGCAGAAATAGAGAGACCAAAGAACCTATTGTAAAACCTGCAGCTGTGATGGATTACAACCTCAATATGCGCTTAGTGGACAAATGTGACATGCAGATTGGGTTTGCTGACTGTGTTCGCAAGAGTTATAAGTGGTACATAAAACTGTTTTTCCATCTTCTTGACATTTCCCCTGCTGAATGCTTATAATATGTATAAGTTGAAGACCAAGAACAAACCCAAATATGGTGAATTTTGTTTGTCAGTCATCAGACAAATAATATTCAAGTACCAAGAAACAACACCTGCAATAGACCAGCGCCCACGAAATTATCAACACATGTCCTCTCGTCTGAGGCCTGGTGATCACTACCCATACCACTGCCTGCTACTACTGCCAAGAAAAATGCTCAGAAGAGGTGTTTTGTCTGTGGACATACCACAAAACGCCCACAAAAAACGCAGAGACACTCGTTTTATGTGTGAGGAGTGTAAGACACCCATTGTGCTTATACCCATGTTTCAAAGAATTCCACAAGCTGCAGCACTTCTAATAAAGTGTCCAGTGATTGTACATATGTATATATATTATAAAGCAATTGTAATAAACATTATTACATGTTTGTTTGTGTAAACAAGTTTTAGCAACATTATAATGATACGAGTGTTTTTGCTATAATTGTGTTACATTCAACGAGTGTATATTTGAACATTGCACAATAATTTGGTCTCACAGGCCACAAAAGTTATGTGAAAAAATAAAATAGTGAAAAAAACAAGAAACCATCGAATACAAGTAAATAAAAGTTTACCGGGTGAGCGGCAGTCGCCGCTGTTGCCGCCAGCAGATCAATTTCAGCAAACTTCAGGACTCTATATCTCGGTAAGTACTGATGGGAAAAATTTTTTTTTGGGACTA